AAGCCGGTGCTAGGGGGCGTGAGGGATGTTGCACTTGTTCATTATTCCTCATGTACAGCCTCAATCAAACCGAGTCTGCAATTCTTATGTGATTTTGTTGTGATTAATGCTTCCGAGGGATCACTTTGTTTCCAGATTTTTTAATATACTTGTTCAAAGCTTATGGTCTTAACTTTCATTCAATATTCATTTTCTTTTTTGAAGGAAGCGACGTGATTTTTTTCCGAATATATGAGTGTGGTTTTAAGAGAGAAAAACTAAACAACGATAAATTTGAAACAAATTTTTATTACTTCTACGTAATTAATTTTCATTTTTAAGGCATCACTAGAAAGTTCATAAAGGATTCTTTTACTTGAGTCTAAAATTATCAAAATTGACCAAGAAATAAAAAAAGTAAGTAGGGGCGCCATGTTTCTCTTACTGAATTTCAGAGTGTGTTTTGTTTTTTTACTTGGGGACCATATGCCTTTTTTCATGGTATGGCATTTACGTGTCACATTGAAGGTTCCATGATAATCGCCATATTAACACATCTGCGGATGTTTCAAAATTCAAAATAGTACCGGTTCATGTTGAACTTTGCTTAAGCCGGTGCTAGGGGGCGTGGACGGTATTGCTCTTTCCATTACCGTCAATGAACAGGCTCAATCAAACCAAGCCTGCAACATTTTCAATTGTGTCGTTTTGGGCGTTCTTTAGGGATTATTATTTTCTCTATTTTACAGAAAGTAACAAGATAACCTTTTAAACGAAAAGTTAATTCATTTTGATTTAATTCATTTTTATTTTTAGGCACTATATAATTATATATCATAAATCGTATGAAGCACACTTTTATTTCAATCCAAAATTATCAAAATTGATTACGAAATAAAACTAGAAATGTGTCCATAGGACACGGATGCTCCCACATGCCACTGTTCTGTCAATCTTATGACTCTAGGTCAAATATTTTTTGGACTACATGTGCCACAAGTTGAAAACTAAAAATCAACAAAGGGCCATAATTCTGTTAAATTTGGTGGCAGCAAAAATTCCTTCCTTTACTACCATCTACACATTAAGGTTGTTAATCCCTGGAAGTTTAAGCAAAATCTGCCATCCGGTTTAAGAGGAGTTGCGTTCACAAAATTTCTACATAGTATATAATGAAAAAATAAAAAAAGGGCCTTAATTCTGTTGAATTTGGTTGCAGCAAAAATTCCATTCTTTACTACCATCTACACATTAAGGTTGTTCATCCCTGGAAGTTTAAGCAAAATCTGCTATCCGGTTTAAGAGAAGTTGCATTCACAAAATTTCTACATAGTATATAGTGAAAAAATCAACAAAGGGCCATAATTCTGTAAAATATGGTCGCAGCGAAAATTCCTTCCTTTACTACCATCTACACCTGAAAGTTGTTCATCCCTGTAAGTTTAAGCAAAATCTGCCATCCGGTTTAAGAGGAGTTGGGTTCACAAAATTTCTACATAGTATATAGTGAAAAAATCAACAAAGGGCCATAATTCTGTTAAATTTGGTCGCAGCAAAAATTCCTTCCTTTACTACCATCTACACATTAAGGTTGTTCATCCCTGTAAGTTTAAGCAAAATCTGCCATCCGGTTTAAGAGGAGTTGCGTTCACAAAATTTCTACATAGTATCAAGTGAAAAAATCAACAAAGGGCCATAATTCTGTTAAATTTGGTCGCAGCGAAAATTCCTTCCTTTACTACCATCTACACATTAAGGTTGTTCATCCCTGTAAGTTAGAGCAAAATCTGCCATCCGGTTTAAGAGGAGTTGCGTTCACAAGATTTCGGGACGTACGGACGGACTGACGGACGGACGGACGGACGGACGGACAAGTGCAACGCTATATGCTCCCACATTGTGGGGGCATAAAAAAGTTTGGAGGGAACGCCGTGTTTTTCTTACCATTTCGAGTATTAGATTCTATTTTCAAAGGAAAAAGTGATAAATTTTTAAACAAAAATTTCAATACATCTATTTAATTCATTTTTATTTCCGAGGCACTCATAGAAAGCTTATGGAGAAATCTTTCATTTGATACCACAAATATTTGACTTTTTATAGAAATAAAAAAAAGTTAGAATGGACTTCCTTCACTTTATTGAGAAAGCGACGGGTATTATACCTGTCCGTACATTTCAAAATCGTAAATACTCAGAGAGGGGCGGGGCGTCATGCATGACTTAAAATCGTTTAACTTTGTGAATCTACTTTTGTCATTTTAAACATGTTACTGTGTAAACGTACTGCTGTAGTTCTACGACTGGAAACACGTTTTTTAAATTATATTTTCTGTATTCGAGTTTTACATTTCATTTGTATTTTTCAGGTACAGATAGATATCTACAAGTGTGTAAACATGCTTATGTATTATATGCAATGGAAGATACGAACTTGTAAATTTGTTGTTGTTCTCCATGTTAGGTCAGTTGTTAAGATTTACATGTAAACTTGTTATTTAAAAGATTGAACTAAGAGGCATATCATTTGCTGTGCACGAATACAATCAAAAATGCTAGACATACATGTTCGCATTTTCAAAAGAAGTTTTCAAAAGGAACACATTACATGTCTGGAATTTTGGCAACGATCGCCCTCCATAAAACTCATGCTCATGGCCAAAATCTATTAAATAACAAATGTTTAATTAAAACTGCTGAGTCATTGTGATATTACGTAGAGAGTTTCTAGTCAAGTCAAAGAGATTTTATTATTTTCTCTGCTTTATTTCCCTGACAAGATATTGACAAGAAGTTGTATTTATCAATACCGTTATGGAAACTCAAGTCGCCAAACATTTCCGTTTTTATCTGAGTAGAGGAATATTGAATTAATCTGTCATAGTAGCATTTCTAGTCATCACCATCATTGAATCGTAAAATATGATTAAAGTAGAATGGATATGTTTATGCTATAAAATCAAAGCACTTTATTTCTTTTCTTTTTTTTCATCAGCGCTTTCACCAGAATATCGATCATATTATATAATTGCTGTTTATTGTGAACCGACGGTTTTGCTTACAAAAATAACATACATGTATCTGCATATATATTATTCATAAAGTTATCGTCAAATATATAAATAGTTTGCTTATAAAATCGTTATTTTTTAAGCATCTATCGTAGGCCCTTGAAGGTATTAGCTTGCTCTTTTATTTTATGATGATGTCATTGACGCAGTCACTTATGATCGATACTATCAGTAAATTCTAATTCAGTAATTACTACGCATGCTTCAAACAAGGAAATGGATAATGCAGTTTTGACTTATCAGTGCTGATCAATTACCATATTGGCATCCGTACTCTATTTATTGTCACAGCAAACATCATTCAATGCTGTGATTGCAATTCTGTCGTCGAGCTTGTTGAAGTCTAATATTGATTTCTCTAATTTACTGTTGAGTTTTCTGCACTTGTCAAAGTTGTAATTCTGATAAAATTTAGCAATTTGATGACGAACAACGTGGAATATAAATAGCAATGGTTTATGCCAATGTTACATGCTCATGTACACATATCGATTATTGCTAAAAGGTATATTACTAACAGTAGTTTTTACTAAAGGACATATTTCCCGTCTGAAAATTAATATATTCAGCAAATCAATCCTGTATGGAAAATAGAAGTAAAGCTAATTTATTCCTTCAGTTCATAATGTTTACAACTCAAAGAATAAGACATTTTTCGCTTTAGATTCTACATGAAACAGAATTGTATCGAAGCAGTCCTGTTTTACAATACAGAACGATGATAGCTTTCTCTAATGGCAACATTTTTCTATTGACTTTGATGAATATCTATAATCTATATCGTTTTTGTAATTTGATCAAAATAAGATACTAAAAACAGCAAAAATAAGACGCTAGTCCTAGCCACGTTATGTATGACAATATAATGTAAATTCCCCCAAAATTAATTTCGGAAAAAATGTTTACTGGTCACATTTTTAACATTCAAGTCAAAGGCCATCATTACATATACATTTGTAATCTATTAACCGTTATTCTCTTACCCTATATATGGAAACAAAGTATAATTAAGAAACAAATCAGAACCTATAACATAGACAGAAATGATAAAATATCAGTCTTTAATGTATTTTTTTATTGGCGAGGCAACACATTTGAATAATTTCGGACATGACTTGGTTAAAGATGACTGAAATATCCTAGATTTTATACAACTATTTTCTTATAACCTCATTCCTGTCTTTGATTTTAGGACTTTATACTGTTAACGATTTCAATATGAAACCACTACATTTTTTTTTTGCATAACTGATAAAGTATTGAGTTTGAAATTTCACTCAGGTTTTGTAAAGTTTTATGATATATTCGATCATCACGTGGTTCAATCGCTGGGGATTCATTGGATTATTTTCCTAGTTTTTAATCCTAACTAATATTAAAACATATATTTTAAACATACTCTCTGCATTTACTATGTCTTTATTGATAAGCTATATAAAATGTTTATGATCAATCAAAATCCATACAGAACTAATAGCTAAGTACAGTGTTAATTGATTTTAAGGAATAGGTGCAAAGGGATTTCATTAAAAGGTGCCTCGATTCTCAGATACGTCCCGAAAAAAGAAAATATATTTACTCAATATGACGATTTTGTATGTTTAAATTTTAGATTTATTCACAAATTAGAATTGCGAAACAGTGACAGTTAAAGTAATTATGAAAATGATAATGTCTGCATACTTGATTTCAATCAAATATTTGACAAAAATATTTCACGATTATTAGACTGTTGAAGTTGTTGGTTTTTATTGTACGAATGAAATCACTCATTTCTCGGATAAATAGATATTAATGATATATCTGCCGCGTTCCAGTACCAGTGTCAACAAGTATAGAAAAACAAGGCTAGTGACATATATTTAAAACTATTTAGTTCTTCTTACTGAATTAATTGAAAATCAAAGAATATAAGCATGATATAATCTTAAAATATAGAATATATACGAACCTATTGCCGCCCCGGCGAGTACTCTACCGGACAAAAGCATGTACTTATCTACTGCAATACCCATTAAAACTGCCGCCGCAGTAAACACAAGACACGAGCTCAAAATTACTCCCCTACGTCCCATTCTGTCATTCAAACCCCCGCCTACAAGAGCAAACAGGGCTGCTGCGCCTACTGTTACCGACACTATCATCTCTTGCCATAAAGATGTCAATCCAAATTCATTCCTTAATAATATCATAGCACCTGAAATCACACTTGTGTCGTATCCAAATAAAAATCCACCAAGTGCAGCGAAAAACGTCAAAATGTAAACAAAACATGGAGTTTTTGTTCTTTCTCTGATGCTGTCAATTTTTAAATCCAGCTTCTCGTCATCAGAGTCATCGTATAACTTTTTTGGCCTTGGAAGGCCTTTTGCGCCTTTAAGTTTGTGTGCTCTCTCCATAATGTTTTCGAATGATCTGATTTTCAGAACACTTGAGAGAGTACAAAAATCACATGTTGAACGTTTACGCGCCAACTGTCAACTGAGTGTTTTAATCGATTTCCAATGAGAAGATCCTCTTTATAAGGGGACACAAATCTCCAATATGAACAAGTTTATACCCACACGATATACGATATTTCTAATATTGTCTTTTCCGTTACCAGAAACAACTTCGATATTGTGCTTTTATATTCGTCCACAATATTTCATTATTCGATTTGATTGTCTACGGATTACTATGTCGATATGTAGTCCGTGTCAAACCAATAGATAATCAAAGCACAGAAGGCGCTAAATTTGTTTGGGTCTCAGAATGTCAGAAAGGTGAAGGTTGTGAGATTATGAACCAATTTGTTTTTGTATAGTGCCACCAATGCTTTCCAGCGTTTTAATTGTAGTAATTTGGCTATAAGACTAATTGCAACACTAATATTCAATTCGATGTTTATTTGACTTAAACAATTTCAAAAAAAAATGAATTGCCTTAACTGGGGTTTGAACTTTAGACTTCTCGATTATCTCAAACCCCTCGGTCACGGTGAAGTTATATGTTAACAGCCTGAAGAAAACCATAATATTTTAAATTAGGGTTTGAAACCCTTATTATTTCGACGCTAACTGTTGTTTATCACAGATGTAGATAATCATTGAGCTTACTATAAGCATGTATATCTATAGAGAATAAAACAATATTAGAAATCTTCGACCATTCGGGAACTATTTTGCTTGAAAATAAATGCGCCTGTCATTTGACCATCTTTACGCAGTGATCTCCCCTGAATTTTTCGCCGTAAGTGTACATATAAAGGGAAGTAACTGCTTCAAACAAGAGGGCCATGATGGCCCTAGATCGCTCACCTGACTTATCAAACTCATCCAAACAATTACCTAGACAAGCATTCTGACCAAGTCTCATGACAGGTGAGTCAAAAATGTGACCACTACAGTGTTAACAAGGATTATCCATATTTGAGCAGTGCGACCTAGTTTTTTACCCAGGTGACACATATTCAAACTTGACCTAGAAGTCATCAAAACAAACTTTCAGACCAATTTCCAGGATACTTGGATCAAAACAGTAGCAACTAGAGTGTTAACAAGATTTTTCTATTTTTAGCTCCGGTGACCTAGTTTCACATGCGATTTCGAAGTCATCCAAGCAATTACCTAGACAAGCATCCTGACCAAGTTTGATGATAATTGAGTCGAAAATGTGACCACTAGAATGTTCACAAGGTTTTTCGATATTTGGGCGGTGTGACCTAGTTTTTCATCCAAGATGACCCATGTTCGATCTTGACTTAGAAATCATCAAAACAAACTTTCAGACCAATTAACAGAATATTTGGATCACAACAGTAGCCACTAGAGTGTTAACAATATTTTTCTATTTTTAGCTCCGGTGACCTAGTTTTTCATCCGTGATGTCCCATGTTCGATTTGTTCCCAGCAATGACCTAGACAAGTTTCCTGACCAAGTTTGATGACAATTGAGTCAAAATTGTGACCACTAGAGTGTTAACAAGGTTTTTCTATTTTTAGCTCCTGTGACCTAGTTTTTCATCCGAGATGACCCATGTTCGAACTCATCCGAGCTATCACCTAGACAAGCATCTTGATCAAGTTTGATGATGATTGATGCAAAAATGTGACCGCTAGAGTGTTAACAAGGTTTTTCTATTTTTAGCTCCGGTGACCTACTTTTTCATCCGAGATGACCCATGTTCAAACTTATTCGAGCTATTTCCTAGACAAGCATCCTGACAAAGTTTGATGATGATCGAGGCAAAAATGTGACCACAAGATTGTTAACAAGGTTTTTCTATTTTTACCCTCTTTGACCTTGTTTTTCATCCGAGATGACCCATGTTCAAACTCATCCGAGCTATCTCCTGACAAGCATCTTGACTAAGTTTGATGATGATTGATGCAAAAATGTGACCGCTAGAGTGTTAACAAGGTTTTTCTATTTTTAGCTCCGGTGACCTACTTTTTTATCCGAGATGACCCATGTTCAAAGTCATCTAAGCTATCAACTAGATAAGCATCCTGACCAAGTTTGATGATGATTGATGCAAAAATGTGACCGCTAGAGTGTTAACAAGGTTTTTCTATTTTTAGCTCCGGTGACCTACTTTTTTATCCGAGATGACCCATGTTCAAACTCATCTAAGCTATCAACTAGATAAGCATCCTGACCAAGTTTGATGATGATTGATGCTAAAATGTGACCGCTAGAGTGTTAACAAGGTTTTTCTATCTATAGTTCCGGTGACCTAGTTTTTCATCCGAGATGACCCATATTCGAACTCATCCGAACTATTATCTAAACAAGCATCCTGACAAAGTTTGATGATGATTGGGTCAACAATGTGACCACTAGAGTGTTCACAAGGTTTTTCTATTTTTAGCTCCTGTGACCTAGTTTTTCATCAGAGATGACCCATGTTCGAACTCATCCAAGCAATTAACTAGACAAGCATTCTGAGCAAGTTTGATGATGATTGGTTCAAAAATGTGACCACTAGAGTGTTCACAAGGTTTTTCTATTTATAGCTCCTGTGACTTACTTTTTCATCTGAGATGACCCATGTTCGAAATCATCCGAGCTATCACCTAGACAAACATCCTGACCAAGTTTCCTGAGCAAGTTTGATGATGATTGGGTCAAACATGTGACCTCTAGAGTGTTCACAAGGTTTTTCTATTTTTAGCTCTTGTGACCTAGTTTTTCATTCGAGATGAGCCATGTTCGAACTCATCCGAGCTTTCAACTAGATAAGCATCCTGACCAAGTTTGATGATGATTGAGGCAAAAATGCGACCGCTAGAGTGTTCACGAGCAATTGTGGACGGACGACGGACGACGGACGACGGACATTCACCGATCCTAAAAGCTCACCCTGAGCAAGCTCAGGTGAGCTAAAAAGCGGACTACTTTCGGCATTTGCAATTAACAGCATCAGGGTCTGAAATTTCGCTACCATTATTTGTTTGGTCTGACGACCCAAACAAATAAAAACGAAATCCCTAAAGAACGCCCAAAAAGACAAAATTGAAAATGTTGCAGGCTCGGTTTGAATGAGAACGTAGCTATATGGGGTGTGATATGAATTTGATATGAACCTTTTGGACCCTGGATATGAAAACGAGGCTAAATTGATGAGATTGGATCAAATAATGATTTGTTTTTGAACATCAAGTGGTGCAAATGCTGAAAGTGCATTGGTTATATCTAATACGGTATAAGATAAACAATTAAATAATGAAGAAAATGTAGCACGCACTTACAAACAAAAAATATATATGTTATTAAATTTTTATTTGTACATAAATAAATCATGTTCTTAAAAACATCGATAATAATTATATTGTTTTGCATTTTTATAGAAGCTTTTTGTGTATCATTCAGATATTTTTTTAATCGGTCTTATGTCATAGGGGCTAATCATACGGATAATAAGTGAACGTGTGCAGTTCGAATACAACCAGCGACTTATAATTCAGTCTGGTATGGTACTTAATGGAAAGTATATGATGCTATATGCCATTATAATAGGACTTTAAAGGGTCAATAATAGTTTCTTCCAAAGTCACGACTGTCGCAGGTTTGTGCGATTTGCAAGCGATCAACATACTGCTGTTGGTTTAAAGATAATTTAACGTCTTAGAGAGACCTATATAAGTTTATTATTATCATCATCATCACCATCATCATCATCATCAGCATCATCATCATCATTATTATTATTATTATTATTATTATTATTATTATTATTATTATTATTATTATATTTGAAAGGTGGAAAGTTGGTACATGTATAATACCACTTATATGATTCATATTGTGTTGTATGGATATTGTGCGGCCATTTCAATGTACATGCAAAAAGAAAAAGTATCAGAATTTTTCTTGATTTTACTTAAACGCTTTTATCGACATGAAGATATGCCATAACACGGAACGATTTTATGTTTTTAACGTTGATTTAAAGATAGGAATGAACTTACCGATTCTGAAGGATGCTTCTCATTTCAATGAACTAAAGTTGTTCTCATAAAAATCAGTAACTGACTGCTATATTGTGATATCGAATTAATCCAAGGGGTGTTTCTTCTGCTCTATCCATTTTAGGCATACAGATTTTGGATAACGTTGCAAAATACTTTCAATTGGAGACACTCGAAGGTAGAAATAAAACCAGAACAATGTAATACAACCAAACACATATATTTCTTTTAAAGTTTATTGAACATTAAATTTGTACATAAGATGACATACATTTTTCAAAGAGCATGAAAATTAAGAAAATCTTCTTCATTTTGTGTTACAAAATACACTTTATTCCCAGAACAGGAGTATTTGAAAGTAATTTTAAAGAATACATTCAAATTTAGATTGTTTGCATACATGTACATAAACCCATAAATACATATTTAACCGTGTGTTAACTAAACTTTCCAGGTTAGAAGCGATTGGTGATAAAGAAACATTTAATTTCATATAACTGTTTATATATGTGTGTTTTAACAAAAATAAATTGTTTGTTCTTATATATAATAATTATTTATTCTCATTATGTAACACATGCCCATCTAACAGGTAAAAAAATAATTAACTTCACATTTAGCCATTATTGTGTTCAAATTCATATTAAACTGTGAAGAACAACATCAATAATTCACATGACAAACAGAAATTTCTATAAATATCTTTTAGAATGAATCGGTAACGCTGAAATTTTAGAGTAGGGCGGTGTTTTTATAATTTTACGTATTTTTACCCATTTTTCACTATCAATTAGTGTCAATTACCATTATGATAAACCAATCATCTGATACAATTTAGTTTGACAGCGAAAAATGAGCATGACGTCACTTTAAAATTGCTCTAATGGATATAACATGTTGACAATCGGTACCGTTGACCTAGTGCCTTCGGATCGGGAGGTTGAAGGTTCGAGCCCAATGGGAAGTGTTTATTGAAGGATAAATGTTTCTCCTGGGATTCGTTCCGAAATGGTCGCTTCGTGAGCCGCGAGGTAGTTAAAATGAATGGTTACCGATTTCAATCAGCCTGGCGCCAGGCATAGTGGTAGGAGTTGGGAGGTACAATGTATGCAAGCAAAAGGTGTCTCATAAATCAGAAATGGCTGGCCCTTTTAGTAGGGGTGACACGACCTTTAACTTTTTTTGTTTTCAAATGCACCGATTAAGTGACTTAACATAGTCTAAAACACTTGCTAGTTACATAATATAATTTATCAAATTATGCAGAAATTTCTCATGTCGTAAGTGTCCGGGTAGAAAACTTGAGATAAAATAGTAAATAATGTAATAAGAAATTGAATAACACGAGCACATTCATAGTTTCGCCTGCACTGTGAATAACTATAAATTTTTTTTTTTCTAAAATTTGAATTCTTGAAGATTTATTAACTTATCTGAATGCATTTTGCTTTCATGAAAAATCTTATTTTATCTGGAATTCTTAATCTTGGGACTTTTATTTTAAAGAATTATCTGTCCAACAAACGTAAAAAAAACCAACCAACAATATTACTTAGCAAAAGTGAACATTGATTCAAACATTCCAATATATTGAGACCATTAACATAGCATCTTGTAAATATTCGTATGGTTATAATTTTATCACTCATTATATTTATCTTAATATGAATTTAGGGGTTTTCATGAACAACTACAGAAATCTGAAAAACTGAATTCAGTTTTTTTGTGATTTTCTCTTCAATAGCTGTAACATATGATTTTCAAAATGGCGGCGCTTATGTGATTATTTTAAGATTATTCATACTTATTATTCATAGTGCCTTATTCATCAATGCGCTGTGAGTTTTGTATAATATAGTTCCATGTTAAATAGTAAAGTTAATAAAAGGAAATAATCTGCTTTAATACAAAGTACAACAAAAAAACAACAACAAGAAAAAAGGAAAAAACAAAAACAAAACCAAGAGGTCCATGGCCCTTGTATCGCTCATCTGATTATTCTTGCTCCACATGACAAAGAATGATAAATGCTGATATCTATGAATGAAAAGCAGGTATAAGGCCACAATACAGACCAAATTGTGTACATGTAAACTAGTCACCGGTTGCTATGGGAAAACAAGTTGTTGCTAATCAAGTTACGAAATGCTTTGGGAAAAAAACGTTGCTAAGGAAAATCCATGTTTTTTTTATTGAGGACACTTATTGTTATGGCAAATCAATAGATGCTATAGAAGTCAATAGTTGCAATGGAAATGCAATAGTTACTGTGGAAGTCAATGGTTGCTATGGAAAGGCAATTGTTGCTATGGAAGTCACTAATTGCTATGGATAGTCACTTGCTGCTTAAGATGTCACTTGTTACTTAGGAAAGTCAGTTGTTGCTGTGGAGTGTCACTGGCTATCATTGATAGAGAATGGATGGTGTTGTTACCACGTTGTTCACTGGACAATGGTCAACTATCTAAGCTCTACACTATGATTTCAGAGAAGTAGATTAAAAACGTTTTACTATATACATTTAAGGAAAACCAATGACCATCATGGCAGGGCAAATTTTGTCCTCGTGACTATGATCTAAAGAAACTTGGTAGAGGTCTTCTAGACAATATTTCATGCCAAATATCTAAGTGCTACCCTTTGTGGTTTTAGAAAAGATTTTCATATTCTACTATTTATTAAAAGAGTAACCATAACCCCCGGAACAATGCCAATTTTCATCGAAGGGCTTGCTTTGTTTTGGACAAATCTGGTAGGGACCCATTGGTCAATGTTTCATGCCAAACATCCAAGCATTGTGCTTTTGGAAAAGCGTATATGTTAAGGTTGAAAATAAAATGAATTTACAAATGTATATCTACTCTTATCTCCTATGAGCTACTAATTTATTACATTAAAACCATTTACACAATTTGTGTAGATGTCATCTAAGGATCATCCCGGTTAAGTTTGGTCAATATAGATCATGTGGTTTAGGAGAAGGATGCTGTTGATTGAAAAATATTGTGGATAATGGCTGACAACGAACGAAAGACACATTGCCATCACAAAAAACTCACATATGAGAACTTTCTGCTCAGGTGTTATACAATACCATATGATATGTAGGAAACAATCAACTTGTATCTTTAATATGACTTGTCCGGCTTATGTTTCAAACATGAATGGCCTTGGTTTTTCAAATTAATAACTGAAATTCAGCAGTCCGTCCCCATTGCAGTGAAATTACACTAAGAGATGTAGTGGTTTCTTTGAAAGTAGCGTCAAAATGGACAACATGACGTTACACTTGACATATCTATATATGAGCCGTGTCATGACAAAACCAACATAATGGGTTTGCGACCAGCATGGATCCAGACCAGCCTGCGCATCCGCGCAGTCTGATCAGGATCCATGCTGTTCGCTTACAAACCTTATAACACGTAGAGCAACTGATCGCGAACAGCATGGATCCTGATCAGACTGCGCGGATGCGCAGGCTGGTCTGGATCCATGCTGGTCGCAAACCCATTATGTTGGTTTTGTCGTGACACGGCTCAATTATAAAAGCGACATAAAGAACACAAATTATAAGACATTTTCTTTGCATAACATAAAAATTTAAAGGTCTTTGAAAACATTGATAGTTTGAACCTACTACAAGAATGATTACAGTAAAAAATGTATGAAATGATTATGTTGTTGTTTTTGTTATACTCTTTTACATATCTTCTAATTTTCTTGTAACATACATTTAGAAAATAAGTAAACAATTCATTTAGCTCGTTAACTAACATACTAATATCGTTTTATCACTATTGTGTTGTACATTTCTTAAAAATTATATATACCAAATGTTCACTTGAAGAATGTTCACTTGAAGGTACAATATTTTGATACAGTCTTATTTGAGACATTTTTTTTTCATTTTTTGTTTTTTCTTCTGCAGATATAAGCAGAAAGACCCTTAAACTAACATGTATGAGAAATAATTTCTAGATAACAAATAGATGTATTGAAATGTTAATGTATGTTCAAAGGCAAATCTTTATTTTCAATTTTGTTGATTAGTCATGCGCCAAATTAGGTTTATTCTATTTTCAATATATGACCCGCGTCACGACAAAACCAACATAATGGGTTTGCGACCAGCATGGATCCAGACCAGCCTGCGCATCCGCGCAGTCTGATCAGGATCCATGATGTTCGCTTACAAACCCTATAACAAATAGGGAAACTGATAGCGAACAGCATGGATCCTGATCAGACTGTGCGGATTCGCAGGCTGGTCTGGATCAATGGTAGTCGCAAACCCATTTTGTTGGTTTTGTCGTGACACGGCTCATATCTTAATACAGAAAAATAAGGTTTTAACTAAAAAATGTACATAAAGTATGTATTAAAAAGTATACCAAAAGTTTTTTTTTTTTTCAAATTCACATATTATGGAAACTTTTTCAGAAAATATTGATTTTGAAAATACAACTGTCTTAAAAATAAATTCAATGTATACAGAAAATTAACTTTTAACACAAAACTGTTGTTCATTATTCGATACAAAAAGTTCTGTTTATTTTTCTGTAAATATTTCATTGTATGATTTTAACGCCACATAACTCGAAGGGTTCGGTTGGTTCACCATCGTAATAAAGTAGAACGCTGATAGCTGCACAAGATATGGCGTCTGAGCATGGGCACTTGTACATGCATGACATTGGATCGCCTTCAACTCTCTCTAGAAATGTGCACTTTTTCCATGAACCGCTGAAGTTACTCGTAGCTGCATTTTTCGGATACATCACCTGTCAATTAGAAAGAGTTGACAAGATTTATATATAAATAAAATAATTTCAAAATTTTAAATAAAATAAATATGTTAAAAGTGTCAAGAAGAATAGATACTATAACGACACACACCTTAGTGACTTGACGGCCTAATTTATTATCACATGAAATCCCTCGTCCAGTAAGCTTCACCGTGAATGCCGTTACCCCGTCGGTGTTCCATATGTTAGTTTTGAAGTGTGACCAGTAGTAAGTGACAGTCTCCGTTGTTGTTTTGTTTGGAAGTTGTTTACATGTGTTATCGTCGTCATCCAAGACATACATTACATTTTCTAACATTGTGTTCTTGGAGAAATCTTTGCCGTAAAAATCAATGTCTTTTCCAACTGAAAACGGTATTTAAAACTATATTTGTTGTTTTCATTCCTTATAAAAGTGATAGAGAAAACATTTGAACAAATTAAAGTACATTTACTTTTTCCGAATTTGACTCTTTATGGTTTCATTCTGCAGTCATTTAAAACTCTGTAGTATCGCATTCTCACATGAATACAGATGTCGGATCTTTTATGATTTATTATATAGAAACAAAATATTAGCCGCGTCATGACAAAACCAACATGATGCGTTTGCGACCAGCATGGATCCAGACCAGCCTGCGCATCCGCGGAGTCTGATCAGGATCCATGCTGTTCGCTTACAAACCCTATAACAAGTAGAGAAACTGATAGCGAACAGCATGGATCCTGATCAGACTGCGCGGAAGCGCAGGCTGGTCTGGATCCATGCTGGTCGCAAACCTATTTTGTTGGATTTGTCATGACGCGGCTCAATTATTATTATTAAATAATACAAAGTTCTTACAGTCTGCTTGTTCGGGTTCGTATTGAAGAGTACACCCATTACTCTCATACACAAGACGGACGTAGCGTGCGTATAGAGGACGATCAGTTTTGAATACAAGTGCATCGGTGACGTTTACTCCCTTGCCCCACTGCAAATATATATAATATACATAAGAGAAATGTCTTTATATAAACCGATAACATTTTATCAGCCCATAAAATTGTTCTCCAGAAAAATCATGAATTAAAAAATATAAGTATAAATATTACATTCTAAATGTAAGATAATGCACTTTCAAAACAAATAGAGAACTACTCCATTGACGTTTAAGCCTTGCTTTGAAATGTTTACAAAATTGTAAATATGCAATGACATAAAATTAAAAAAACATAATCCCTAAAGAAAGCCCAACACGAAAAAATTGAAAATTTTGCAGGCTCGGTTTGATTGATACTGTTCATGGACGGTACTGGAAAGTGCAAACTACCGTCCACGCCTCCTAGCACAGCTTTAAGCAGAATTCAACATTTAAACACGAAAATGGCGAAATTTGAGTCATGCATGAGTCATACATATAAAGTATCCTGCAGGGAACAAAATATAACAAAGAAAAAGAACACTAAAGGACTATATGTTAGTTATAAGCAACTTAATTTGAAATCACAAGGATAATCAACAGTTTAAAGGAACCTTTAATGATAAAGTGAAGAGATATACGGCCTTTAGAGGGATTTGGGTAAGTAATGAAATACTAGATTTGGGTCGATTGTCCAGCATAAGAGTGAATGGTGTAAAGGAGAAAATAAGGGGCGTCCGTGGCCGAGTGGTTAAGGTCGTTGACTTCAAACCACTTGCCCCTCACCGCTGTGGGTTCGAATCCCGACAGGGACTTTGGATTCTTTCATGTGAGGAAGCTATCCAGCTAGCTTACAGAACGTCGGTGGTTCTACTCAGGTGTCCGTTCGTGCCTGAAATAATGCACGGAAGGGCACCTGAGGTCTTCCTCCACCAGTAAAGCTGGAACGTCGCGATATGACCTATACTGTGTCGATGTGACGTAAAACCAAACAACAAACAAAACAAACAAAGGGGAAAATGTAACTGGTAACACCCAATCACCAGTAAGTTGTACACTGAAGATAAGTCAAAAAAAGTTACTGTATGGCTATAATCATGAAATTCCACATTGTCCTCGCTCCATTGAAGTTTGAAGAGAAAATTGTTTGCGTCGATGTACTTATGCATAGAATTTGGAATCTTGAGTTTGTCAACTCTTCTAGTCTTACTAAAGTCAATCTGAAAACAAATGAGCCGTGTCACGACAAAACCAACATAATGGGTTTGCGACCAGCATGGATCCAGACCAGCCTGCGCATCCGCGCAGTCTGATCAGGATCCATGCTGTTCGCTATCAGTTTCTCTACTTGTAATAGGGTTGGTAAGCGAACAGCATGGATCCTGATCAGACTGCGCGGACGCGCAGGCTGGTCTGGATCCATGCTGGTCGCAAACCCATTATGTTGGTTTTGTCATGACGCGGCTCAATTTAATGATATAGCATTTGAATCGTTCAAAGATTAGTTGAGACAAATCTCAGACTATAAACATGAAGGTTTTTTACCGTACTTGAAAAGATATGTACACATTTTTGTAAAGTGATGCTTTTATTTCTCAATTTTCAGTATCTCAATTTTGTTCAGTTTTTATATTTATAAACTGGATACATTCGTAATGTCAGTGGCAGTTTTAGCAATATAGTGTTGTATAAATTAGCTCTCCTTATTAGCTCTACTTAAAGACCCATTATGCACAAGATATGTTTTCATTTTTGTTTCTCTAAAGCATTTTATATTTAGTGTACTACTTTTAAAGTCTCTAAAAAGCTACAATATGGCCATTAACCTTTTTCATCTTTTTTTTCTGTTGCTTTTTGGCAATAAGTTCAGGTATTGTGAACGTATAGTGATTTACTATTTTGTAAAAAGTCAAAATACTTTTTGGTTCACATTTTGATTACTTTTACAACACATTATTTCACATTTAGTGCTACTTTCTTCAGGTATCAAACATATAACGTTCTCTGAAACCATTATCTAAACGTTCTTGAATTCATGTCTGACCTTTCCAAAGAAGTATAAGGCATGAGGCATAATGTGTCTCATACATTTTTACAGTAATAATCTTTTATATTATATAAAAGTATGCAATTACGGATGTTTTCGTGTTGAAGCGATCTAGAAATGTATCTTTGTCCGAGAAAGTCTCCCTGTGCGTTATAAATAAATGATTATTCATATCGGAGGCACGGAGTTCTTCCAAATTCAAAATATGCAGCTTTAATGCGATGACAAATGTGTCTTCTTTCGGATCGTCAACAACTTCGACGTTGCACACCAATGGTAGATATAAAAACGTTCCTCCCAGATCAGAATCGGTATCAACCCTGTAAGAAAAAAAAGTAAAATCGTACAAAGTAACATCGTACACCTCTAAATATCTTATTTATAGTTTATTTATAATTTATAGTTAAAACGATCATTCTGTATATCAATATTCATTTTGTAAAATTAATTAAAAGGTACTTTGTACTATCTCATAGATTAGCGATAAGGTTATGGAGGACTAAAAATAGTAATTCGTCAGTGTGTATTACCGACAAAAATGTTTATAGATTATACATATACTGTAAAGCCATTGCAAGGGTTTACCTACAAGAACACCTGTTCTCGCATAATTCAAATCTGAACTGCTTGACGTCATCGTTCATCATTTGAGCCGCGTCACGACAAAACCAACATAATGGGTTTGCGACAAGCATGGATCCTTACCAGCCTGCTATCAGTTCCTCGTCTTGTAATAGAGTTTGTAAGCGAACAGCATGTATCCTGATCAGACTGCGCGGATGCGCAGGCTGGGATGGATCCATGCTGGTCGCAAACCCATTATGTTGGTTTTGTCGTGACGCAGCTCATTTATATTTGCGCTTTTTATCAAAATCACTTTTTGGTAAACGTGTAAAGCTTTCTTTCTCACAATCATGTGTCCTTGTATAAAATGCTTATATTTGAAGATATCAGGACAGTGCATAAATTTTTTCACGCATGCACAATAACCGTATGACAAATAAATATTGCCATAAGCAGAATTACAAGTAGACGAGTAACCAAAGTTCATCATTCAGAGCATTTTTCTTATCCTTACTGCATTGTTAGGAGGATGCTTATGATTCCTATCGTGTAAATTCTGATGAACATTTCCACATCTAAGCCGTTTTAATTTTCAATTGTTCTGAGGAATTTTTCTTTTAAATTTTGTTTGACAAATTCCCGATACTTTTTATCGAAAATAAGTTCATACACTGATAAATTACCACGTGAATAAGATTAAAATGTTAAAATGATAGATTATCCTAAGTTACTAATGGATATTATTCTTCTAGTACATGTATTACGAATACGTGTTTTTTGTCTACGTAGAAAGAGCATATTTTCCGCGTCGGTATAAAATCAAAATATGAAAATGAGGTAGCTGAACGTCCAGAAACTTATCAAGCCGACTATATCTTACCATTCAACCACTTTGGTGGTAATATTACCGACATTAACACACCCAACGTTCCGTCCTCTGAAAATAACCTCAGCACTTACGACCTCTAACAAATGCATTCCCGCGCTTGGTACTGCCGTTCGGTAGGTGACAGGGCTAACAACCGTGTTCCGGAATGTAGTAACATCAAATGAAACTGACATTATGGTGTCAGGTAAATACGTCTGTGTTGAGCAATCAGTTTGAAGTTCATCTTTGTAAAGTGGAAATTGCTGAAATTTATTAGGTAAAAACTTAGTTCTTATGTTCCCGTGATGTAAACATGTTATATATAGGTATATACAATGGAATAAATTGAAACTTGAAATATAAATATATAAATATAAAATTAAATAACTTGATTCTTGATATTGTATATATACATTTTTACTATGAATGAACTTAATTCTTGAAAGAGTGTTATCGTTTATAATTATGCAAAAGAAATCATCTAGTTCTTATTGGCTTAAACACTTTGTATACGATAATATATACACCGTGAAGAACCGAATCTCGCACAAATAACAATACATGTCTACAACTGTTGACCTCTTGTGTGCAAAATATATATCATTGCGTTTTGTATTTATTGCCATTTCTCGATTCAAATATAATTACTTTAAAAATATAATAAAATAAAAGTTGCATCACAATAATGACTTTACACTTGAATTACTTAGCGTTTTAAAAGCCTGACGTCATATGCTGTACGTGAAGTTTTTTCTTGCGCTTTGGTGAAAAACAGTTTAAGTTGCTGTTGGTTTGTTTTTATTTGTTCATTGCTGACTTGAATATACGGGAGAATATAGCTTAGCTGACATAAATATAATACTCGGCTAGCGCCTCAGGTAATTGGATATACGGGAGAATATAGCTTAGCTGACATAAATATAATACTCGGCTAGCGCCTCAGGTAATTGGATATACGGGAGAATATAGCTTAGCTGACATAAATATAATACTCGGCTAGCGCCTCAGGTAATTGGATATACGGGAGAATATAGCTTAGCTGACATAAATATAATACTCGACTAGCGCCTCATGCAGGTAATTGGATATACGGGAGAATATAGCTTAGCTGACATAAATATAATACTCGGCTAGCGCCTCAGGTAATTGGATATACGGGAGAATATAGCTTAGCTGACATAAATATAATACTCGTCTAGTGCCTCAGGTAATTGGATATACGGGAGAATATAGCTTAGCTGACATAAATATAATACTCGACTAGCGCCTCAGGTAATTGGATATACGGGAGAATATAGCTTAGCTGACATAAATATAATACTCGGCTAGCGCCTCAGGTAATTGGATATACGGGAGAATAAAGCTTAGCTGACATACATATAATACTCGACTAGCGCCTCAGGTAATTGGATATACGGGAGAATATAGCTTAGCTGACATAAATATAATACTCGGCTAGCGCCTCAGGTAATTGGATATACGGGAGAATATAGCTTAGCTGACATAAATATAATACTCGTCTAGCGCCTCAGGTAATTGGATATACGGGAGAATATAGCTTAGCTGACATAAATATAATACTCGACTAGCGCCTCAGGTAATTGGATATACGGGAGAATATAGCTTAGCTGACATAAATATAATACTCGTCTAGCGCCTCAGGTAATTGGATATACGGGAGAATATAGCTTAGCTGACATAAATATAATACTCGACTAGCGCCTCAGGTAATTGGATATACGGGAGAATATAACTTAGCTGACATACATATAATACTCGGCTAGCGCCTCAGGTAATTGGATATACGGGAGAATATAGCTTAGCTGACATACATATAATACTCGGCTAGCGCCTCAGGTAATTGGATATACGGGAGAATATAGCTTAGCTGACATAAATATAATACTCGGCTAGCGCCTCAGGTAATTGGATATACGGGAGAATATAGCTTAGCTGACATAAATATAATACTCGGCTAGCGCCTCAGGTAATTGGATATACGGGAGAATATAGCTTAGCTGACATAAATATAATACTCGGCTAGCGCCTCAGGTAATTGGATATACGGGAGAATAAAGCTTAGCTGACATACATATAATACTCGACTAGCGCCTCAGGTAATATGATTCGTGCTGGCTATATTCTCATGTATATCTCATAAGCAACTTAAATTTTATGGAATTCGAATAATACTGTATGGTCAATAAAATTTTGGAAAATAAATTTTTAATGCACTTTAAAGTTTTGCAATGATTTGTACATGTGTAGCTGCAAAATGATAATAACAATGAAGCACTTGGTATGTGATGCGAGGACACGCATGGGCCGGCCCTTCTTCATTTGCTTGCCATAGTTGTATATTTAAATACTTAAACATCAGAGTTAAAATGACTAATGTTTTACAACTTATTACTTCCTTTTAAGAAATAAATGTTTAATTTAGGATGATATTTTACGACCTCAATGCCGTTTGGAAGGCCACAGGGCTATAATGTTTTAAGCGGGGGCATAAAACTTGTATTGATTCGCCGAATTTCGAGTACAATGTATAATTAAGAATATTTTAATAACTTTATCAAATTTCATCAAATTTCAAAAATGATTTACGGAAATGAAAAAATGTGATAAAGACAATTCCTAAAAGTTACGGAGTGTATTTATTTATAATTTAATAATTGCAGCTTTAGAGATGTGACATACGTTTTCACTTCACTTTGAAACTAAAAGTTTTCTTTTAAACTACTCGAAGAAACTATCATATTGCTGAATAGATTACATGATTTCAAGACAATTCATCAACATGCATGTACATGAATGATAAAAGACTTGCACTTAGGACAACTTATGCTCTACAATCTTCACAACGATATAATAGCGAACCCTACGTAACACCTCAATCTTCCAAAGCACATTTCAGTATAATACAGTAAAAGTATGGAATATTATTCCGATTGATATTCCCAACTATCAAAATCTGACCGAATTTCGATACCAATTTTAAAGATACCTACAAATATTGGGTAGCGGGAATCACTTCTTAACATGTTTTTGATTAAAACTGTCTTTAGATTATACGAATATACCATTATTGTTGTGAGTATGCAAGAAAAAATAGATTCAAACACCAGCTGTCGTAACAGACGGGAATATCTCGTAAAACTGTTTAACGGAAACTCGACAGTGCTTCGTTACTGCCGTAAACAGTTACTCTCAAGCTAGATATTCCGGTCTGTACCGGCAGACGGTATAAGGTCTTACAGAATAACTCTTATCTGCTCCAACAGTAAAGTCAGCAGTTTGTCCTCCCACATCATTGATGTCAATCAACAGTCTGTGTACATCGCCTGGTTTTGCAGTCTCTAGCATCATAACGTACAAGTTGAATTTTACGCGGTTTAATTCTTCAGTCGGCTTCATCTCAACGTTTACATTTTCAATGGTCAAGGTAACGCTGCCGCTATTGTACAGTCCCGACCCAGGTTTGGACTCGGCAAGTTCTAATTTTATATTTGACATTGTTCGGGTGTCACAGTCAATGTTGTTTCCAGCCGTGTTTAAGACCACTAATTTTATAAAACAAACTAATGTTTTACAACGCATTGATATGTTAAATTTAAAACAATAATTCAATTTTAGAACCCTAATTCAAATCTTTGATTAACGACTTAAAATCTGTCTTTTACTATACTATAATTTTTATGTAAAAAGAAATAGCCTAACTTTGGATAAAAGTAGTTGATTATATCTTAAAATTAAGATTATGTTTTCGTTAAAACAGTTGATGCAAATTCTTAGTCAATTTGTCTGAATCATTTTCATACTATATGACCATACTCTAGATATGCTGGATAACGTTTTATTAATAAGCAATACGAAAACATTAACTTAACTTAATAACTACCAAGTAAAACTTCCGTAATCGAAGTGAGCCCCTTGTACAATCCCATTTATTGGATATTGAAAATTTGTGGTATTCTTTCTCTTATTATACAACTCTCTTCAAGTTTCACTTTTTGTCATTTCTGTTATTCATACAGATTGCATTTGAATTATGAAGCAAACCTACCACATTTTTATATACATGTATATATTTCGGCGCTTAAAACTTCACGGAAAACCATATGATTGGACAATCTATTGTCCTTTTCAACCAGAAAAGCTGGAAAGTTATTGTGAGCTTATCTAGACCAAGATAATTATAGAGATGGAAAAATGTGAACTTACTGCCCAAGATGCTAAGAGCGTTGTCCTTTCCTTTCGTTGACGTTGATATGAATGAGAAAGTATAGTTATTTCTGGTGAACTCTGGGATTGTTAAGGTTATCTCAACTATTCCTTGAAATCCAGGTGATACCACTTTGTAATTCTCGTTTACATTTGTGGTAAATGTTGACTTGAATAAAAGTGAAATGATATAATTATAATAAATATTCCTTTATAATAAATATTCCTTTCAAACTATCTGAACATATTAGCAAGCTCTTCGTTAAATGGATCTATGGAGTATCGAGACCATTCACACAGTCGGAAAATCTTACAACATTTAGTCGATATCGAACTTAAGTTGCAGGACAGATAACTTTGCCAAAATATCATTTAATTACAAATAAGTAAGTTAAGTAATGTATCTGAGAAAAACATTCTGTCTGTTGTTAACTGGCTCGTTTTTTCTTTGATCATTCGTTTGTATTTAACAAAACATTTTCATTTATTTTTGTAGATCTAGTTACATCTAGTTACAAAATTAATTTCCAGTTAGTCAAACCGGTATTGCATTCTCTTCTGATGTTGAGTAAGACAATCATGCTACTTTCAGCTTTACTGTCATAAAAGTATCGCATTATGTAATGCATGAGAACGTTGGGAACATATAACAAGCGTATACCTTATTTATGTGTAATAAGGCAGTTCTAAAATGTTTCAGGTAATACGAGTAAATGGAACTAATTTAGGTTTGAGATTCTGTTTTATGTTAATTTGAATTAAGGTTTCACTCATGGAACAATTTTATGAAGATAAATTGTACATAAATTAGGATAAGTTTTCCAAAATGTAATTGTAAAGAGATTTGAGGTCTTCAACATTGTACGACTTACAAACACATCAAGTGCCCTTGGTGCAAGATTAACCGTGAGATTTAGTTCGCCAAACCATATAGCAACCTTCTCAACATGTATCCCTATCACAAACTCTATGTCTGTTCCGTTAAGGTCTGTATCCAATGTTTGTAAGATTGTTTCAACAACCAAAAGGTTACGATCGTCATTCTCGGGGTTGTTTGTAGCATCTGTTAATACAAAGAGATCTATGTGAAATACTATGGAAATATGAGATATGGTGTTATAAGATATTTTCATAACAGACGTTATTGCATTTATATAATAATATTCAAACGGCCTTAATCACATTGAAACGCTTAGTGAAAGCTTCAGCTTAATTATTTATGTATCAATATCATTTTGAGACTCACGGTCATGACTTTGAAGCATCATGTGTAACATTTTGCTCAAGGAAAGAAACTCATATCGCATGTACTGACACAAAAAGTTGCTCTAAGTGACGCTTTGAACTAATATTAAAATCTAAGGGTGAAAAAAAAAAAAAAATTGAAATATATCTCGGCCACACAATACAAAAAAAACGGTGTATAGCTGTTACCGGTATAAACAAACACAAGAACAGTTGACGTGTAGGATATATGGACCATTTTTGTTTTATATATCGCGGCGTCAAAACTGAACTAGCATAAGCTAATAAAAATAATAATTAAGGATTGTGATACTAACTCATAAAAGGAATGCAAGATTAACTTCAAAAAGAATCATTGCTTTGAAATATACTTATAATATACATGTACAACCTTTGTTAAACAGCAGTCCACAATCCAACACCAGAGACGAAGTTAAAGGACATTCACTGTAAGCCTTGGAATATATCCTCTCCTTTGCGACGGACTTAAATGAGTGTCCGACAACCGCAAGTCTCATTTCAGACACTACAATCTTATCCTTGTACAAATCTTCATTCTTAACTGACACCTGAACTTGTAGATTGCTCAACACAAACGGTAAGTTAATGAATAAGTTAATTAATGGAAGGCCTCTGATAGGGTCTGGGATAGTTTCTACATCAAACGCTTCGTCCACGGTAATAGGCTGAAAAAAACATAGGAGCCGCATCATGACAAAACCAACATAGTGCGTTTGCAACCAGCATGGATCCAGACCAGCCTGCGCATCATTACAAGTAGAGAAATTGATAGCGAACAGCATGGATCCTGATCAGACTGCGCGGATGCGCAGGCTGGTCTGGATCCATGCTGGTCGCAAACGCACTATGTTGGTTTTGTCGTGACGCGGCTCAAATTGATTTAAGCAGACAGACACAGGTTTAACAATATAATTAATTGATGTAAATAAATAGAACAATTATTCAACGGAGAATCATATGATATGTTAGAATAACTACATTAAAGTTGCTCTTATACAGCTCTTACTTAACAACAGCATCAATCAGAAACCATAAAAATAATTCAGGGAAAGTCAGAATAACTTTTACAAACGACAGTATAGGGGTCATAAGGGATACTTTGGTGTAACTCTGACAAGAGCAACTCGAAGTCACATGCACGACGGTTTTCTTGGGTGCTAAATATATTTGTCAATTTGTGATAACGAGGTAGACGTACTTTCCTTTATTTGTTTTCTTTTCTTCTTCTGATATATTTGTAGGTGACGCTAGGAATGCAAATAAGCACGAGCACCAGGTCGGATAACCGTGTTATTCGTGGGTACGCAGCAAAATGCAGTAATTTAGAAACTCTCATATCGAAATATATATCAGTTACATTTACAGTGACATAATTTAAGTAATTTGTAAATTAAGAGGTATTGAAACCGTGAATTAAAAGAAAAATTGATTTAGACTAGCGTTTATTGTTGTCATACATGACCGTTATATGAAGTGTTACAAGCAGTTCTTTTTGTGCTGAGCATCTATATATTAGACTATATATATATATTATAACGTTTTCTGGAGTAATTTTGAATCATTTTTAGTTTTCCCTGAGTAAAGTAAATCTTTAAACATTGTTATTTTACCACATGCGGAATAATGATTCCTTAGCCATACTTGCACTAGAGTCATGCAGAATAACTTAAAACATACAATAAGTTAAAGTATCTTACATTTGTAGTTGGCTGCAACGTGTACTGTATTTGACTGAGGATAAGATAGCTTTCATTATTCATGTTGTATTCCACGGCAAATGTCGAAAAGAAACCTTCCACTTGCTGGGTGTATGTATGATAGTAGAATTCCATTTCGATATCTACCTTCGTTGAACTTGAAGTATTACTGCTTGGAGCCGAAATATTTCCAAGTGTCAAAATAAAACCAGTCTCGTGTCTTATTGCAAGCTAAAGATTGTTTAAGGGAACGAACATTAGATAATTTATGATGTACATGGTGTCATTTAGGAAATTAATATCTATTTCTATTCTAACATGTTAATTAAAAAATAAAACTGATAAAATATGCTGAACTGAATTGGGCGTATAAGTAATTTGGGTAATAAGGTTTATTGTCGTCATACCTGACGTCATATGACGTGTTACAATCATTCTTTTTTTTGTGCTGTGCATCTATCAAGTAACAATGCACTTGATTACCCTATTTACTTAAAAATATTGGAATAGAGTGATTTGTTTGTTTGTTTGTTTGGGTTTTACGTCACACCAACACAGAATATGTCATATCGCGACTTTCCAGCTTTACTGGTGGAGGAAGACCTCGGGTACCCTTCCGTGCATTATTTCAAGCGCGAACGGGCACCTGAGTAGAACCACCGACGTTCCGTAAGCTAGCGGGATAGCTTCCTCAGATAAAGAATCCAAAGTCCCTATCGGGATTCGAACCCGCAGCGATGAGGGACAAGTGGTTTAACCATTCGGTCATGGACGCCCCTAGGGAATAGAGTGAAGCCTATCAGAATTAAAATAACATATCACCATGTGACCACATTTCATTACCCTAAGCATATTACAAGGTATCTTTGATGCAATATTTTGCTTATACTCCATACGTCTATGTTGGTATGAAATTTTACATTGAAGTCTCGGTAAATTAATTTTGTCTAAACGGGGTTATCTTTTAAAAATAAAAATAATTGATGTTAGATATAAGACAAGATCGAATCTATGACATCCGGTGATGTCTTGTAACAAGCAGCTTTTAACAGTTAACTGGCGATAAATCGGCTTAAACTGAAAACAATAAGAAAATTGTAAACTTTACAAAAATATTATTCATGAACGCACTAATTAATAGACTGGCGACAAAGTTATGTTCATGGCAGTCTGTTCAGTTGCATTCATATATACATAAAGCAAATATTCAAAAGTCGTTTAAAAATTTTAACATTTGATTGCAATGCACGTTCTGTATGGCATGTGAAATACGTAACAATTTTATTGTGGGTTGCTGGGTGAGTGTAGATGAATTTTGGGCTCGGTCGGTCATCGGGCAATTAGTTAGATTGTTAGTTAGTTAGTTAATTAGTTTCGCTGTAACTAGTAATACTCATAATTATGTGATACTTATCGAACTAACTCACAAATATATCGTCAGACAGATAATTTATATTTCACCCTTTTTTCTTGCACGAGTCGGTTCGCTCAGCTACCTACGATTTTTTATTTTTACCAAAAACTACTATAATGCTTGCAGTGCTTTGATTACACTTAAGAGTAAATCTCTAAATCTTACATCTGGATCCTTGAAATCTCCTTCATACTTTTTCTCCATAAAGTAGAAGTATGTGGTCTCTGTAATAGCCAATGGTTCCCCGTTCACCATCACTGTTGCGTTTACGTCGTCACCAATAGAAACAGTAGGCTCTGCTCCAAGAATGAAATTCGTGTCGTCGCTCGACATTATTTCGATTTCAAGATCTTGATGTAAATAAAAAAAAATCATATAAATTGCCAGAATAATGACAAAGCCATATACTTTACTTACATCTAGCTTATTAGCTATATCCGTTCAACGTCTATAGTCTTATATAACGTTCTCGCGGAGGTGATGCATTTTGGCTTCCGTAGAATACATTATTTATGTCCCAAATTTGGAAATGGCTCCAACAATAAAACATATACATGACATTATACAGGGCATAAAGTGATCGAGGTCAAGGACAAATTTTGAAGATCGCTTGGTCAATTTAATATATGCACCAGTGAGCATTAAACAAAATTGAAAATTTGAGTTCTACTGTGATAAAATATTCAAATATATATTCATGTGATCTTTTCCTGATACAATTTTTTTTTTGTATGTGTGGTTTGTTTTTCCGAAAAGTTAAATTAAAGAAAGGCAAGTTAGAGAAAAGTATGCATCACGTGACACCTATACTGGGCCGCTACTTCTTTTTTTCTGTTGTGCATACATTAACATGGCGTTCTGAGCATGACTAACTTCCTGCAATCACGTGTTCTGACGTGTGAATGTAAGTCACATTTTATTAGTTTACACCCCATTATTTGAGGGGCAGGATGTGAAGTGGTTTCAAACTTGGTTCAAGAGAGAAAAATCGTTGCAAACTTGACAAAATTACAACTGAGTCATGAATATTTACCACGCTGGCACATATTTTCTAAGTAAGTGGGTTTGTATGCTTTTTTGATTTTTTATATATAAAAAAAAATTATATATAATTTATGCTCATTCCTTAAGGCGATGTTTATGGCACACTTGGTTTTGAGCTTCAGCGTCCTTGCTTCTGATGTAACGAAGGTATTTAAGATATAAACTGGTCATGTACTTGTTTTGTGATTTGACAAGTTGCAATTCTGGTAGGATTTTCTACTCATTTATTCACATCTTTAAGTTTTGAAGTTCGCCAAATAATACAAAGTATGTTTCTGTCAATACTGTGTAAATGTTTTAATTTGCATGTTCCAAATAAAGTTTCAAAAAACAAACATATCTTGTTCAAGCGCATTTTGGTTACAAACTTGTACTTCAATATTATTGCTTATACATGTAATTGCGCGGACAGAACTTTGTTTTTGATAAAATAATTATTCCTAATATTACAGCATTTTTTGGTATTCATAGTGCCATAATAATCAAATATAAAACCAAAACGCAATGCAAGTATTTATAATTTGTATATTCTGGACGAATTCAAGATTGGCGCATTTGAATTAACAATATCCGTCAAAGATAATTACATATGTACTAAAAACTATTGATAAAAACAAACAACAACAAAAAAACAAAAACTAGTATAATCAAAGGGCTGAAAGCTCTGTGGTATTTTCTGATCTTTGCAATCTAAATCGTACGGTACAGTACATCTGTATGTATTTTCCTGTATAAGTTTATTTTTATATACTATAATTAATTTATCTTACAGGGCACCGAGATGCAGCGACTGCGTTTAGATTTTTTACTATAACAGTTTGAGTTTGATGCATACTAAATTTTGCATGACTAGAGTTGCATCAAAAAAAAATTTATGTTCATCTTTTTATGACAGCCACACATTATCATTGCATATCGTGTCTACTTTCTTAAAAAAGACACTTGAATATAGTTGCTTCGACTGGGATTTGAACCCCTGACCTCTCACACCCTAAACGAGCGCGTTACCCCTGTACCACGGAGAAGTTACACGAAGAGAGCCTGAATAAACTCAAACAATTCTGAATTTAGAATTTCCATTTCGGGTTTTTAATCTTAAAAATTATTAGTTTTGATGTATTTTGTTCACGATAAACATGTTGTTAAACACTGATGTAAATAATTTAGCGATCTCCTCGCCACAACAGTCCGACATGTATATATTTCACTACTATACAGATTTATTTGTGTACTACGCTATGAAGTATTCGGTATCGACATCGTTAAAAATAGCATTTTCATTGATTTAAATGATATTCATCCGCGTTATTTGTGATTGTGGATTTATTGTCAATTCTATAAGCCAACGCTACTTTGAAACTTTGAATGCATTGTAATTTGATGGATACTTGTAATAAAATGAAAATATTTCTTTCTTTTACATCGCTAGTTTTAAACTGTTTTGAGAACTACTTGTTGTTAGGTTTGTCGTGAAAGATAGAGATTATATGTCAGCATTGTATTTCCTGACTGCGTCAGAAAATACAAAAAACGGGTATGCTGAAGATCTTAAGCTAGCTTAGTTTTTAATTTGTATCAGTCTTCCCTTCAAGCAATATGTACGAAATATAGCCTAACAGTTATTTGTGTTGGATCAAGAGTTAAATGAGTGAATATCAAATGCACTTTTTTCAAGTGTGGCATAGTCCAGAATGAAATTAGATAAGTAATGCTGACAAACGAAAGAATCAAATTTACATTTTTTTTTACAGATTTTTGAACTTCACCACAGTACGTGCAGCATGCCGTGTGCCTGCTGGAAAAAAAACTGTACTTCACTTCAGCGTTGTTATATTTTTTGGTCCTTCGGGACCTTTGATTCTAGCACTTATTAGTGTTGCAAATTGAGTAGCGCTAGAGGCTAAGTAGCGTGAGGGATGTTGCACTTTTCACAATCATAATCCCTCATGAACAGACTGAATCAAACCGAGCCTGCAGTTTCCACTTATTTTATTGTTATTAATGCGTCATCCTTTTTTCCAGATTTTTATACTTTTTACTGTTTTCGCTGAGAAGCATCAAAAGCCCTTCATCATAACGCGACAACGTCCTTGCAAGCAATAATCTATGAAAGTTTTATTTTTGTGGCAGAGTGTTCTTTCATTTCGTTTTTAATTTATGGTATTATTTACCTTATAACATCAGTTAAGCTTTTTGAGAACTTCCCATTATATTCCATAATGTCAATTAATTAAATTATAAAAATGAACTGAGAAGCGTGCAGTTAAAATAAAATAACGTTTGCACTAGTATTATGATTGTGAAACAGGAAAAAAATACAACAAAGATCAACAATGCGAGGCGACATTCGGACGCAACCCCAACAAATCCAGTTATATTCGTTTAAACCACGTGAATACATTTATATTATAAATTCCTTGGCCATATGTGAAAGTACCTGTGAAGAAAATCAAATAGTAAAGTTTTCAAACACTACTTTGTTTTGTACTTATACGAGGATAAAACTTAAAAATAAAAAGATTTTTGAAAATTTAGTTTACGTTTATAAAAATGTGTTTACTTTGAACTGTTTGGCCTGCAAAATCTAGGGAAACTTTGTGAGCAGTCCTCTGCCCAAGATAGATATCATCATTCTCAGAGTCTTCCAAAGGACCCGTGACCTGTATATCCACATACGGGTGTGTCAGAACCGATCCTGCAAAATGACAGAGAAAATGATTGTTTTATCATTTATCTATGTGTGGCTATGAGCCATTATATATGTTATAATGATTCCAGCATACTATATTGAAGAAATTTAGCAAAAACATATATAAGTATAATCTGATGTTTAAAAATATAAAGTGTTTTCTTCCTTAATGAACATCTAACGAAAGTTTCTGACATCATGTCATTTAAATACATGCGAGAAAGTGCAAGTTATGCCTATTTTCGACATGTAAATGTTAAATTTATATGATAAAGTGCATTGGACTTTCATGAAAAAATATTGATTTAAAATCACCGTAGGGAACGTGTTACAGTATTGCGCCTCCGGTACAGAATTTTCAAGATGGAGGGTTTTGTAGAGAAGACAGGTAAAAGTAATTTAGTTTCTTAAAGACATTTTTGTGCTTCGCCTGTAAGGACAGATCTTGCACATCTCTATATTGGCTAATTAATGTGCAGATTTGAAAATTTATAAAATTCCCGCTACAAACAGTTATGTGACATGGTTTTGTTCATGTGATATGATATAGGAGACATCGTGCTAACATCTAAACAATGTAAGAGTTTCTGATACTTATTGTTTCTCCCTGATATAAACAAAATGTAATAGATTAAATATACATAATGATATTTACAAAGTAATAATTAACATAATTCACTTTTTTTTTTGTAAATTTTGTCATTGAGGATACATTCAGTCGTTTATTTATAGCGTCAGAAATCACGCAAATTACTATAAATTAATTATATTATTAGCAAGATTTGGTTATACTCATAAGCTGTACAGATATAGAATAAAAAGATCAATAACATTATACTGTACAATACGGGATATATTGGACGAGTACACATACAACAGCTATACATTCCATTCATAATTTCTGTTTGTGAAAAATATAATATACATAAATCATGTATAGTTTGCTTAAATTATCTTTATGTCTAATTCTTGATGAGTAACGGTAAGCAGATGATATTATTAACATTAACATTAAAAGTCGCGTGAAATTCTTTTCTTTTGAGAGTGTTACAATCTTTTGGTATTCTTACAACTTTTATCATTTTAATGTACATTAGTTTTTAAATACAGTCGCCCTCGAAAGAGTTGAATTTCAAAATTCAGAGAAGATTCAGCAGTGTCATTGCCGCCGTTCTACCAGTAACAGTAGCCTTTTCCGTCAAACTTCGGATAAGAACCTCGAAAATAAGAATACGTATTTCGGTCTAACCTACGAACAATTGAATGCTAGGAGTTTGTGACTAAATTTATACCAATTTATCGAGTAAAAATCCACCTCAATTAAGTATATTATTAGATATAAAAGTAAACAATACATACATTAATTATATACTTATTAAATTGTCTACCTGTTGATATAAAATCAGATTTGGTTATAATTGTACATCAGGTGGCATTTTTAAATTGATTATACTTGTCAGAAATATTTTCAATCATAGTTTTACCAAAATATACTTTATTTTACTTTTGATCTCACATATATACATTCGCTATATATTATCAATGTTAAAACAAGTAGAGATTTTGATGCTAAAGCATCAAGTCGCCGGATAGAAAATGACTGTATTATCATAAATATAAAAAAATCAGTTTAATTAATGGTTCAGGTATAAAGAAAAGAGGAACAATTTATGTTGAGTAACTGTTTATTCACAATAAAACATCTTATATGAAGCAAACTTGCTTAGCAATATTGTTAAGGAACTGCTATGATTATTATTATTATTATTATGATTTATGCTAAAGATTTTATTGATAGTATAGATCTCGATATTAAATTAATTAATATGTGGTAAGTATAGGACGAAGTTGTGACCTAGTAGGCCAAATTCGAATCTTTGAAAATCCCTTTTGCAGTTTTCATAAAACTATTTTTTTGCGCTATCGAAAAAAATAAGCTATTTAGTTGAAATCAATATTCCTGTCGTTACATACGATATAGTTAACGTTTAATTGCCTTTCAGTTCGATAAAATACATGTATTAACAAAAAGATATTTTATTAGTTTTCATTATTATGTGTCGTACCGTTTTGGTAACCTGCGCGACGGAAATCGACGGAATATAACGAAGACGACGATTACCACTATTTATTTCAATAAATGTGCCTCTTTAGCATAAATCTATTTTGTGATGTTCAACCTAAACAGTTTCTATTGAACATTGACAGAAAGGGCAAAATTTAACCCTTTACCAAGATAAAATGAAAAGGTTTTGAAAATTTATTTAATTCTTTAATGTACTAATCCTTTCTAATGATATAAAATATGAAACTGATTAATGAAAGATAACTTTGTAATTATTTATACATTTGCATCTAATTAGCCCCCATACCGTTTTCCAACTAGTATGCTTATCAGCAATCTGTTACTATTAATAGATTCTATAACACACAACGTGTAGTCACGTGATTCTTACAATAGAACAGGGAGAATCTGTTTATAATTAGATAAAATAATGAAATATAATAGGTGTCATAAGATATAAAACAACCAAATAATTTAAATGTGTCATTTTAAATATCATTCATGATTTATCAATCATAAAATAGCAACGCTTGACACTTAGAAAAAAGTAAAAGTATCCCTAAATTCAATGACTGGTCCATAGGGATACGTTATTAATTCATTTTATGAAAATTGTAATGTTGCTTTTTAAGATGTCAATATTTGTATATTTCATTTCATTTAGCAACGTTAATTTATTTTTGAATTTTTAAGATTATGAAAAATAATTGTGGTCCTTAATTGTTCAGTAATTGATTTGCTTTTATTTTCAGATTTTAAGGCCTTCTCCTACCATAGATATAATATTAAACTGTTACAAATATAGTCGCCGTTTTCTACCGGCGGCTAATCACTTGGAAGAACTATTATCAACCCGTAATAAGTAAATTAATTAGTAACGGAATAGTAACAAGGCGAGAAATTTGGTATTTTACGTATAAAGTATATAAGGTGCAATAAAAGATTATAAATTTTTTTTCTTAAATGGTATAACTTTATATCTTATGAAATATTTTTTTATAAAATTTATCACAATAAAATTATATATTTTTTTCCATAATCTTAAAGTCGATTCTAGAAAGAATTGTAACAAAGAATGTCTGTTATTTGCAGCGGATATATATAGCTTTATACACTTAAAACGTATAATTCTTTAACCTTTCTCTGGAGGCATTTAGCTTCAAAACACATCTGAGCCGTCTCACGACAAAACCAACATAGTGGGTTTGCGACCAGCATGTATCTAGAACAGCCTGCGCTTCCGCGCAGTCTGATCAGGATCCATGCTGTTCGCAATCAGTTTCTCTACTTGTAATAGAGTTGGTAAGCGAACAGCATGGATCCTGATCAGACTGCGCAGATGCGCAGGCTGGTCTGGAAAACGCACTATGTTGGTTTTGTCGTGACGCGGCTCATATATGTTACTTAAAAAACCATTCTTTTACTTATATTATTCTAGAATTAAACCAATAGTTTGAAAACATAGTGTGTTTTTTTTACTTAATTTGCTTAATTTTTCATAAAAAAAGTACAAAGGTTTCTTTTTTAACATTGTACTTGTTATTTTAATATTTTTGTTATCTTCTTTACCCTGTTTGTTTGTTTTTTTTATGTTCTTTTTTAAACTGACTTCTTTAACACTTAACAAATTGACAAAAAAATAATATGATTGAATTTTAAAAAAGACGGTAACTGAGAACACTTTAAAAGGAAAAAATGAATAAAATAAATAAATAAATTTTTTTAAAAAATCTGAACATCTTACCATATAAAAGAATCTTCATAAACCAAGTAATTGCCCACATTTTTTGTCCTATTCTAAAACTGGCGATTCTGCGAGGTAAATTCTTCTTTAGAAATGACAAATAACTACTTGGATATCTGGAACCGGATGTCGTGGTTGCTAGCAGTTACTGTAGAAGTCATTTTCAAGTGACACAGAAGGCTGGTCAAGTTTCACTGGTTATGAATAATTCAATACAAAAACAAAGGTTTGAAATACTTTAAACAATTAGCGTCTTCACCAGAATAAAAATCCTTTTATCGTGTTCTTAAATCGATTTTAAAACGATCTTGTTAAAAGGAAACGGGAAAATTAAAGTGACAAATACAAGGTTATCATTTACAATATACCAAAAGAAGAAAGAAATGGATAATGAAAGGAATTTGTCGACTTAGAATTTAAAAAAAGACATGTTTTCAAAACTAAGCATTGGTTCAGATATTTTTAAATAATGTAGTAAACAACAGGTCATCGGTCATTTTCAAAACATTCCGGGCTACATAGGTTCAAGATTTGAGCCAAATCCCGGGCATAGTTGATTTTTTTGATGAGTGAAGGGTTTTTAAGAAGTATAAAGATACTCGGACGAGTTAAAACTGATGTTTTCCGGTATGCACATGTTATTTCCGGGGATCGTGGACGTTATTGGTCGTCTCGTCATTTTAGAACAGTTAATTTTTATTTCGAATTTATTCACTAGAGGATAATTGAAAAATTGTATAGCAGTGTAAAAAATATTTCGAAAGTGTGTTTCCGATATTCCTTTATATTATTTTATAATTTGGTACACGTTTCAGAAATATCCTCTTAGATCATAATACTAATTTTAGAGTTTAGTTTGCAATTTTAAAATGACCAGTGAAAATCCTTATAATATTCAGTAATTGCATAGTAAATTGTACAGGAAGTCAACCGATCTCAGACGGACTTCGTCCGAAAAATATGTCCGATTAGATATGTTCCGAATGAAATTATATATGGCCTGTTTCACTCTTTATATATAACGAGTAAAACTCCAATAGGACCTTTTTAGGACCGACCCATCACCAAGAATATGAACATTCTTGGACAAATTATTTAACACTATCTGTATACAATGATACCATATATAATTCATCGCCAAACTGTGTAAATTATACCTTTGAAATGATCTAGTTCCGACAGTTTTACACAGATCCTATCTTAAAGACCCATCGAAACAAGTATTTTCTATATTTTCTACATCCAAAACTTTACTCGAATAAATAGTCCATGTTCCCTTAAAGACTTATCATAAGTGGTGGAGTGGCCGAGTGGTTAACGCGTCGGACTAGTAATCTAAGGATTTTGATGGCCTCGTCGGTTCGAACCACGTCAGAGGCAAGCCGTTGTTTCCGTGAGCAAGAAACTTTACAATCATTGCATAGTACTGGTTTGTCTTAAACTGTTATATTGTTCAATAAGCTTATAGCTTCCAACACAATCGAAGTAAAAAATTAGTATAAACTAAAGACTTATCATGACTTATATGCACCCTGCAGTATGACTTTATTTGTGAAGTTCTCTCTCATACAACCTGATGACAGTTTTCTTTTCATAACGACCTTTCTCACTTTTTTTTGAAGACTTTTCAAACAATTATTAACCAGTCACGATCTGCTTTCGTTAGTAAACAAATGACATTGATTCACCATGGTGTACAAAAAAATGTCATGCTTTAAAGGCAGTTCATGGGTTTTGTTCTTAAAGGCAGTTCATCTTGATGTTGTTTTTGTTGTTTTTTTTTTGTTCATGAATATGTTATCTTTATGACTTTCTTTATCTACCTACAGGAAGTAGACATATACATGGTACAGGAAGTAGACATATACATGGTACAGGAAGTAGACATATACATGGAAGGCCACGTAAACGTATACACAATATACAGGGACATTCTGGAAAAGTTTGTTTTAGTTCAAATGGATCAAGTTCTGCTTTGGAATGCATTATCTTTATTTATTCCACGTTAAAGACGTAACAGAACTGTTGAAATATTCATGTGCAGAACATTAAAGTATGTTATGACATTAGAATGGTTGGCACAGCATAAGTGGAGATCATTTGAAAGAAATAATTTCAAGTCGCAAAACTAAGTTGCACTGAATCTGTCTTTAGAGACAAAATGTCACACTGTTGAGATAAGATTAAAGAAAATGATAATTGAAAAACTTGAAATCATCAAGCCGTTTATAATAAGTGCCATGCAAATATAGCTCTAGCGGAAAACGTTTCTTCCTGTTACCTGATACAAGAAAACCTGTGTTAAAATAATCGAAAAGTCCATGATACTTTGGACAGAGGAGAAATGTGCTTTTTGATTATTGAATTACAGATATGAAATCAATATTTACGTTGATAGCGCTTTAAGTCAGGCAAAAATCACTGTTTTCCGGGTGACATAACTTGAAATCAAGTTTATTAAAAAGACCTTTAAGTATGAGAATAGAAAAAGTAAATTGCCCAAAGAATTCGAATTCATGACCTTTAATTTAAGAGTTCTGTGCTTGCGAACACCTTTGTCGGTTATTTTACATTAAAGGTATATCCATTACCAAGTGACGCATGTCATGTCAGCACATTAATTTCAGGGTTTGTATGTGAAGGTTCTTATGTCAGAATCGATTGAATCATTCAGAGTCTTCCAAATTTGTAAGACATGAGAACAGAAATATTTAAGTTAATATATTTTCTTAAATTCATCTTTGCATCCGATATTTTTAAAATAAACTATTCTAGACTATGAAGAGATCAAATTGTTTATAAAGTTGTTGAATACTGATAATGTAACGTCGAGCCATATAAGTTAAAAATATTGCAAATCACTAGGAGCTCTGACCAGTTCACAATCGGCTTCGGTTGGACTAACATGGATAGCTTAACTGAAAGGAGATTTTTTTTTCATTTTAACAAAAGAATACTAACTATTGTATGAAATGGGGCGAGGGAGTAACTGCAATAAATACTGAAAACAGTTCCTGGTATTTTATTTTATTTATATAAGCCTGAAATGGAATTTATAATTGGTAAGTGTGATTTGCATTGACAGAGAAACAAACTCGAACACATAATCCTTACACATAATAATTTTTGTACAAAGATACAAAAATGCTGTCATTATATATAAATCTTTAAACAATGCCTCATTTCCACAGTACATGAAAAACAAATCTCAATTTATTCATCAAAGACATGAGCATAACCTTAGGTCAGCAAAAAAATCAGATTTATTTGTGCCACAACCTAAAAAAGAAATTTTTAGAAAATCTCTGACATATTCAGGCCTTAATTTATATAGTATTTAAAAGTATCCCTCATTCTATTCGTAAACCTGAAACTATTGGAAAATTCCAAGCTTCCTATCTATATCAGTTGGAATTTCACATAAGTACCCTGATCTTGCATAGATTTAGTGTTACATTGTAACATGCATTGTGTTTTGAATATGTATTTTGTTTGAATGTACATTGTTTTTGTTGTTGTTGTTTTCATGTACAACTGTATATATTATGCACTTTGTGTTTTCATGTATGTTATTTGAAAATTTCGCTGTATAACCATGGTGTAAATTATGTATATTTTATGTATATTTATGTTTTGAATCTTCCATATGGAAGATTGGGAACCTCAGTAAATAAAGACTTTACTTACTTATACTTACCATTCTTACAAGTGTTCTTTTGCATTTTGATGAACACGTGATTTAAAGTACAGTGTCAGGCTGTACTTTATTTATTTTACCCTTACCCCGCTGGTGGCAACAGATTTTACCCATTATGTACATTCGACCAGTGCGAGCAATGATCAGCCGGTACATCCGGTCAGTTCTTACTGTACATGTATATTAAAAATAATAAATGCTTTCGTCTAGATAAAAAGATAGACACGTTCATTTATCATATTTAGAATGGTAAGAGTTAATAAATGAATAATTAATAACAATCTTATATGATAAGATCGCAAAATTTACCAATTTAAAAAAGAAAAAAAGAAAGAAAAGACGAAAAAAAAACAACAATAAATCGCATTATTCTAAATAATTGAATATTCATTTCTATGATCACGAGGGCTATTGTTTTGATGGATGACGACGCCCACCAGCCTTTGTATCATCCAACATTACTGCACGTTCATCCGTATTAATTGTATTGCCATATTTGGCCCTGGAGCGTACATGCGGAAACAATTAATTTAAATTTGTCAAGGTCTGTAATACCTTTAATAATAATGCTAAATTTAATAGTATTTAGTATCATACGTGAAAACCATGCACGAAAAAAAATATACATGGATGTTGTTGGTAAGTGTTGAATATATAATACTATAAAAATTATTAATTTATAGCAGATATTAAAATGTTCTATATGGTGGCATATTTCTGCCACCAGATAACCTGATAACAAACTAGTTAATTAAGAGGTTAACTAGTTACGTAACTAGTTAACCTGATAATTAACTAGTTAATTAAGAGGTTAACTAGTTACGTAACTAGTTAATTTTTTCAATAAAGAAAAGATCATAACGGGAAATAAATGCATGTTAGTGCCTGCAACTGCCATCCTTTTATTATATCATCATCTTAAAATTAAGAGGTTAACTAGTTACGTAACTAGTTAACCTCTTAATTAACTAGTTAATTATCAGGTTAACTAGTTACGCAAATACCTAACTAGTTAACCTGATAAATAACTAGTTAATTAAGAGGTTAACTAGTTACATAAAAACGTAACTAGTTAACCTGATAGATAACTAGTTAGTTAAGAGGTTAACTAGTTACGCAAATACCTAACTAGTTAACCTGATAAATAACTAGTTAATTAAGAGGTTAACTAGTTACGTTTTTACGTAACTAGTTAACCTCTTAACTAACTAGTTATTTATCAGGTTAACTAGTTACGTAACTAGTTAACCTGATAATTAACTAGTTAAGTATTAGGTTAACTAGTTAGGTATTTTCGTAACTAGTTAACCTGATAATTAACTAGTTAATTAAGAGGTTAACTAGTTACTTAAAAACGTAACTAGTTAACCTGATAAATAACTAGTTAGTTAAGAGGTTAACTAGTTACGCAAATACCTAACTAGTTAACCTGATAAATAACTAGTTAATTAAGAGGTTAACTAGTTACGTTTTTACGTAACTAGTTAACCTCTTAACTAACTAGTTATTTATCAGGTTAACTAGTTACGTAACTAGTTAACCTGATAATTAACTAGTTAAGTATTAGGTTAACTAGTTAGGTATTTTCGTAACTAGTTAACCTGATAATTAACTAGTTAATTAAGAGGTTAACTAGTTAAGTATTTATTTAACTAGTTAACCTATTAATGAACTAGTTAATTATCAGGTTAACTAGTTACGTAACTAGTTAACCTCTTAATATTAAGCTGACAATAAGGGATGGCAGTTTGCAGGCACTAACATGCATTTTTTCCCGTTATGATCTTTTCTTTATTGAAAAAATTAACTAGTTACGTAACTAGTTAACCTGATAATTAACTAGTTAATTAAGAGGTTAACTAGTTACGTAACTAGTTAACCTCTTAATTAACTAGTTAATTATCAGGTTATCTGGTGGCAGAAATATGCCACCATAGTTCTAGAACAAAAATATTATTTATATTATTATTCATATATGTTTTAAACTCTACTGGTATTTTATTTTTCTTAAATATTTCAAGAGTATATCCAAATGATACATTTCTATTGTTTTTATCAATATTTAAAATACTTCAATGTGTCCATTGCAGACCAATCCACTTTTAAGACAAACGATTTACATCCAAAGCATCATATTGATGTAGTGATTTTATCCAGTCACTTTTGCGTTTTATAGTTACTTTAATTTATAAATCTGCGGTGATAATGTGAGATTTTGTTAATAAACAAATGTTATTTTACAACTGGAGAGATTAGTAAGACATAATTATATCAGAGTGGAGTAACCTCCTCTGCTTCTGATGTCGGAAATAGGCCTGATTTTTTCCAAGTACACCCAGATACAGTTCTTGTTTACGTAACAAAACTCAGTAACAATACAAGTTAAAGGTAAATTTAACAGTTTACAACTAAGTATATAAATCGCGGTGTCTATACCAGTGTGACCTGCGTTGGCTCCGATGGGAATACATGTAGAATGCCATCGAGGTATAGTAGACTCTATTTTATAACAGTATAAGTATGGGCTTATGTGTAGAAGTCCGCTGATTCATACATATACGTAATGTTTTATGTTCGTTTTTCGTAAAATGAAACTGTATGTACATCTGTTTGCTCAGACACACAAAGAAGTATATAGTATGTACTGCAGTAGTGGTTTCTTCTAACTAGAATGAGTGGGCTCTTTATTTCACTCCATTTAATGAAAAAAATATAAGTTATGAAAGAAAATGGTTCATTGACCGTTATTTGCTCCATTCAAATCACAAAAGGTCATGTGATACACGCAATTAACACATACACACAACTTAGACTAGTGTAACGTATCTTAAGCTAAATAATTGCAAACTCAAACCAATAAATGCACAAATATTTGACATTGTCGCTCTAAACGAACAATCCCTAGAATACCCAACGTTTACATCTCCTGAAACTGTCGAATAATCTTTAAAGAAAAGCGTTGTCAAATTAGTCACAAAGTCATTCTCCAAAGATAAACCCAGTGCCATTTTGTTTAAAACTTTACTAGTGTTCGGATAAAAAGTACTTTCTGCTTCTTTCAATAACCGCTTTATCCTTTTGTACGCAACAAGGCGTGATAATATTCTAGAATTCTCTTGCGAGACTGTAACAATCGGAACTGAGTCAAATTCTATATCGTTCTGTATGCTTTCGGCTTTCACTTTGGGGTAAACGGAAACATGTGGATGTGTCCATCCGCTCACAATTAGTTCACTGCCACAGTCATATTGTAAGAATTTTATTTGAGAAACGTTTTCCTCGGGTATTAAAATATTACTAACGCTGTATGTAAACTCTAAATTTTTGTAAAACGGATTTTCAATGTCTTTATATATTTTGACAAGTTCGCCTGCTACGTTGCTTTCCGTTTCTTTGACAACGGTTAACAGGCCTCCATGCTCGTATGCAATTATTCGTAAAAAGTCCATGTCAGCATACCTTCCAAACGCAATCGTGTTAATGCTGGATTTACAACATATATTACCATGTAAGAAATTCCTCGCCCGCACATTTCTTCGAATAGCTTTTGTATCCATTTCTCCGTAAGTCGGAGACCCGTCTGTCAAAAAAACTATTATTTTTCCAAGATTTCCGCTGACACGTGACGGTAACTCTTTATCAAACATGTCAACTGCCAGTTGCAAAGCCTCGTTTATATTCGTCCTGCCGTCTGCTTTTACACTCCTCTGTATAAATACCTTCGCCGCGAAAACGTTGAGCGAGGTTGCCTGTTGGAATGTGGATTTCCACATGATTGCATCATCGTCAAATAAGATGATATTAAAGAAATCGTGACTGCGCAGGCGCGAAAGGATAGTATCCATTGCTTCTTTAACCTGTTCTATTGGGTTACCATCCATTGAACCACTTATATCAATTACAAAAACAATTTGTTTCATCATAATTTTTCTTTCCTCACAAGGCGCTGAAAACATATGTACAAACTGACCGAGCTCGTTTTCGATTAAAATACCGCCATTTTTATTGTCTTCTAATTCATATTCAATTTCAAATGGTAAACCCAACTTTCTATTGGCATTTTCTTGTTCTCTCGTGCTAGGTTTCCATTCTATTTCATTGTAATAAAAGCCGTCTTTGTCCAAATTACCCTTGTTATAAACAACATGCACTCTTTCTGTGTAAAATGGCGTTTTGTAGGTCAGCATTTTAAACTTCTGTTTGTCTTTTAATTCGCATCTCAACTCTAACTTCTCTATCAACTGTCCTGAATCGACAAATAGCCGCTGTACATGTTTCCCTGCGTGTTTGTGCAAAAGTTCTTCATATTCCAACCGAAATTTGATTTCAGAATTAGCAGCAACGTTAACTGATACTTTGAAAACATCGATATCCACGTCATCTATGATGTCATAATACGTGATTTGGCCGGTTCGCGCGTTACTTTTTTTTCGTCTGTAATATATTTCGGCTACTGCTTTCTCTTTTATCACAGCTTTTGAGATTTTATTGTTTGTTTCATATAGAAAACTTGTTATGAATGCTTCTTTTGGAAGTTTGACCTCAAATATCACTTCCTGATCATATGATCTCGAATTGACAACATGGCTTTTGACCACCACATTTGCATACCGGAAGACAACTTTAGATGTGATCACATATTCGCGTATCGTCACTTCCGGTAATATGTTAGCCACTAGCGCACAGTTTAAGCAGAGTAAAAACCAAGGTAGACGCTCTATAGTTAATGAACACATTGTGAATGTATGCCAACATTCAAACAACACATCTAGCAAATGTGTTCGCCGCTGATAACGTCGTTACAATTACACAACGTTGACACAGGAATACAACGTTAAACAAAGTATTTCTAATCATTATTGCATAGTTATTTTCCTATTTACACTGTCCCAATTTTCTAGCATTTCGTAGCATTTCTATGTATTTATTGCAATGAAAAGTAAATCCGTAACTTAGCATAACATATCACATAAGCATCGATACGTTTCCAAAATATGTTTATGTTCGCGCTTCATGACTGCATACTGCATACAATATTCCAAACTTCTCCTCAGAAATGTTTTATAAACTCAGGTAAAATCTGAAATATTTAATTTCAGCATAAAACTACCAGCATCTTGAGTGCCAAGTGAAATTTGAGAGATCCCGCTCTCGCTGTCAGTATAAATAACTTCCGAACACTCTCACACACTTGGCATAATTATCTACGAATAATCGCTATTATTACTCATGGAGCATTAAAACAAAAACAAAAAAACAAGAGCAGAATGGGTTGTCCTTGAATAGAACTACTTAAAATTTGCATCTGATTCATTTTGAGAAGCAGCGTGATACACAACTAATATGTAATTTCTTGTTTTTTATTATTATAACTTGGAACAATAAAATAAGACAAATACTTCAACACATGCACCGTTTTTGCATTCAGCTGCAGACACAATAACAATATAATTCTGTTTTAACTTATGGCAGCCATTCATTTTATTTCCAGTGTTTTCATTTTATTGAGACAAAAAAAGTTAAGACGTAAACTTATTACATTAAAACTCTCGGATATAGTTGCAAACTTTATAATAATCTACATGCGATTTGTGGATTTAGTTTCTATTCCCATTGCCTCATTTTGAGAAAACCATTTTATTCCCCTTAACTTAAATCTGAATCATGTTAATCATCCGAGATACGGTTATGATAGAATAGCTAAACATACCTATGCATATATATCAAAAATATATGTATGGGAGGAGATACTAGTATACATCATCATTCTTGATTTAACTTTTGCAGTTGTTTGTTTTTGTTATATTCTATGTTATTATTATCTCAAACCACTTGCCCCTCACCGCTGTGGGTTTTAATCCGGTAAGATACTTTGGATTCTTTCATGTATGTAAAGAAGCTATACAGTCGCCCGTTTTGTGCCTAAAATAATGCACGGAATGTAAACATATGCACTTTATAGAGCGTCGGAGTGACTTAAAACCCTATCTTATATTATCATCTTATATGTCATTATTTCATCATAATTATTTTTCATTATTTTATCGCTATTATTTTCATGATAAACAAACCGATATATCTATCTGCAATGCATTGATAAAGATTTCAGAACACGGTTTCTTATATTTTAGGTACGCAATCCTTTTCCTAACTTGGCCTCTAATCCATTAGGCACATCCTGTGCTTTTCCGTAATTCTCAATAATTCTTTTCCGTAATTTTGAAAACAAAGTAAATGTTAGTGTACTTCATTTTTTTGACGCTAAAAAATGTCCCATTTTATCTTCCGACATGTGTTAACAGCATGAGTAATTTAATTAATGCCCGTTTCGTGCTTTATGGATTTCTAAGTAGAAACTAGAAATTATTGCACATTTAAAATTCTAATGGTGAATTTTTTTTATAAATTTTGTTATCAAAATTAATTTATCAAAATTTAGGTGATATGATTAGATTTTTTTCGTTTTATATTTGGTGAGTTTTCAGGTGAGAGGATGGAGGAGAGAAAACAGAAGTTGAGACCTAGTTGCTTATCTTTGCCGATTTGAAAGTCTCTATAATAAGTTGGAAGGTTTTGTGCATGCTCGAAAGAAAAGAAATATCTGCGAGATTTGCTGGCAATCTAACGCATATAAAACTGTCAGCGGGACAAAAACAAATCTAACAAAACAACTCTGCCGCAATGAAGACACTTAAAGGGTAGACTATAAAGTCAATAAAAAACAACAGCGCATTGATTACATTATAAGAAATTCTATTATTATCAAAAGCAATAACAAGTATAAAACAAGAGCAACCGCAAGGCGGGGACAATGCTCGCCTTTCTTACTTTTTCTAAAAGCCAAACAAATAAACAGTTTTAACAAATCTTTAAAAAGAAAATTAAAGAAAAAATAAATTCCTTTTTCTAGTCACACTTGTTGCTCTGTCCAAGTATGAATCCTTTCCTTAAATAAATGACAAAGTTAAGAAAATATAATGAATAATAAATTCAATCATTTGAAGGTCAATGTCATTTAAAGGTCAAGATCACATCTAAATCATTCAACATGTCTGTTTGGTCACACGTCTTGTTTTTTGTCTACATATGAATCAAATCAGTACATAAATAACAAAATTATGACTCCTTAACTGAAATTCAATACTTTGACCTTGACGGTCAAGGTATTTTTAAGCTCACGGTCAAGATCAGTTCAATTTTTGGAAATGTCTTGTCAAAAAGGTTGTTTTGTCCAAGTATGAAAATAATCCAGTGATTAATTACCAAGTAACAGCCAATTATAGTGATAATCAGTGAAAATTCAAAATTTGACCTTCAAAGTCAAGGTCATACATGAATCAAAGTCAATTTGAATTTGATATACACGAAGGTCCTGACCTAAAAGATAGTGTATCTTAATTTGAATTTAATCCATTTATAAATAACAAAGTTATAGCCAGTTACAGAAAAAAAACAAGAAAATTTCATTAATTTGACATTGAATGTCAATGTCTTTTTAGTGTCAGGTCACATCTAAATTGTTCAATATGTTCGTTTAGTAGCCAGTCTTCTTTTATCAAAGTTTGAATCTAATCTGTACATAAATAACAAAATTATGACAATTTAACCAAATTCAATACTAAGACCTTGACAGTTAAGGTCATTTAAAGGTCAAGGTTAAAGTCAGTTCAACCGTTTAAAAGGTCTTGTCCAAAATGTTGTTTTGTCAAAGTATGAAGATAATCAATTTATTAATTACCAAGTTACAGTCAATTATAGCAAAAATTGGTGAAAATTCAATAATTTAACCTTCAAGGTCAAGGCATAAAAGGGTCAATTTGAGCTTGATATACATAAAGGTTTTATCCTAAAGAATTTTCTATCAAAATATTAAGTCAATTCATTCATTAATAAATAAGTTATACCCAAAATACCAATAATTTGCCATTCAAGGTCAAAGCCATCTATGAGCAAAGGTCAAAATTTGAAGGTTCATGTTCAATTTTGAAGACAATCCATTCAACAATAACAAATTTATGGCCACTCATAGCAAAAAACAATCAAAATTTAGACATTTGACCGTGAATGTCAAGGTCATTTATGAATGAAGGTTAGGGTAAGTCTGGTCTACTTGAGCGTCTTGTCCCAAGGATTGTTGTAGATAAGTATGAAAACAATACACCAGGAACTTAAAAAGTTAAGAAAAAGGTTAAAGTTTGCAACGGCAACACCGACAAAATTTAAACAATACGGTAACTATTTTTAACAAGTTCAAGCTAAAAATTATTCTTAATTACATACTTATTACATTCTGTATTTTGGCTATGTGATAAGCATATATCAATATATTCACGTAGATTCATCACTGAATCTATGCATAGATCCCTGACTTGTCTCATTCTAATTATAAGTTTAGAAGAAACAATAGGAATTTCACCACAACATATTTGATAACAAAAGAGCACATGTCAATGTATGTGGTTAAATCTATTGTTATTCAACTGAAAGGTCATAGTATGAATCTATCAATTGAACTTGTTGAATAAGATAATATTATTCTTGACAAACACAATTTTATTCAACTTGTTCAATAAATTCAGTATTGAACCAACATTTATGTATAGGTTAGTGCAGGCGACCAATTATTTTTGTTAATGTGTATTAGTAAACATTAACCTATTTAATGATCAACATTATTTTTTTCAACCAAAAACAAGGCATTTCTCTAAATCACCTATAGCTCCGCCTTCGCCCTTTCGCTCAACAAGATGTCTACACCTTGTCAAGTTTCTAACATGTCACATTTAGATAAGCTAAATAAATGGCCCTTTCAACATATAATTAGGAACATTTTTTTACTGAAATGTCACAGAATTTATACATTTATCTACAATAAGACTATCATGTTCCTATAAAATATCTGGAATGAAAACAATGCAATTAGGTAAAACAATGGAGTTAATGAAATGTGTACATCCTTTTAAAATAAATGGAAAATTAAGAAAAATACATTAGAGATTATTAATTGATACAAATTCATTATTAGCTTCAAGTTATTCACTAAATTTTAAAATCCCTATTGATTTGCTCATTTGAAAAACAGTTGACTTTTTTTTCTGTGTGTCAATTTAGGTTTACAGGTGGTACAATGAGTTTTCCAGCCAAAAATGTAATCATTGTATTCTTAATATCAAGTATTGTTAATGCAGTTCATTCCTATCGACTGAAATAAAATAAGGTCTAGAAAATATAAAGTTTAAAACAGTCAGCAGTTTATAACTGACATTTTTCTTAGAGTTAAAAGGATATAAAAAGTAACAATGTAATCATTTGTCTCAGGGTGCCCCACATGAATTATCTATGTAATAAATTAATTGATTGTATCCTCACATTTAGAAACACATGACCTCACTTAATTTTTTTACGTTGGCATTGTTTTGCTAACCTTAGATATTTTACAATTCAGAGTGCAAACCACAACTCTAACTCCTCCCAAATATAATGCATTATTGAAATTTGTTAGACTGGTTAGACAGTTATTTAGTTAGTACACATTAACCAAAGTAAGACTTAGCAGAAATTTGAAAAAATACTACAATGTGATTGGACAAAAAATAATGTTGATCATTAATCAACAATATCCCCTCTTGATTAAACATTATATACCACAAAGGAATATACATATATATATATCCAATATAGTTTTAAAACATTAAATATATAAAATAAAATTAAAATTTACATAATTATTATTACATATTTGTATATGCAGCAAAATATTACCACAAAAAAGAAACACACTTAAAGGCACATAAAGCATCTAAAATAAATAGAAATTTAAATTCTATACAAAAAGGCAAAACACTTATTTTATAATGTTGTAATAATGAAGACTTTATTTAAAGATGAACTGTATGGTAAGATGCTGTATGAAAAGAATATATATATAGAAAAAAACTTGAAAATAAGGTTATAAACATTGTTGCGATCACGGATTTATATTATTTGTTATATAAATCCGTGTTGTGATTAACACATATCATAGATGCTTATCAAGAAAGTAACAATGAATATGAAATTATTTGTCATAAAGGTTTTATAAAGATTTTATAGGTTAAGAATCTGTTGCTCTAATTTTTTCTTGGTTTTAAGTAAAAGAACATTTATAAAGCAATTGTACCAGAAATTCTTTTAGTCTTTTAGAACAAGATAAACAATAGTTCCTAATTTTAGTTGTAATATGCATAAGAATATGGCATTAGAGGAGAGGTAACTCAGTAAGCTATGTTGGAAATTGTTGTAGAGTTGCCTCACTTCCATTATGTTACTATTACAGCCTATTGTAATTCAGAATAGTATGGCCGTACACATACAACTTTTATTTTGTAAAATTATATAATTGAATTGTTTTATATTATTATGTATGGATGAGACTCAAATAAAGATTATGTATGTTTATATAAAGGTAACAAAATGTAAAAGCTTTTTTCAAATTTTCATACTAAATCACTTTTAAACTGTACTTATTACTAAAACACAAAATAATCAAAAGATGTCTCAGCTATATGGCCAATAAGACACTTTTTGAAAAGTGTATTATTCTTTGAAAAATAAAGGTTACAACATTTTTTGGCTCAATGGGTCTTTAATGCTTTCATCACCATATTTCTATCATAACAAATTAAGAAATAAAAAAAAATCTGGAAACAAGGTGATCCCTCGGAAGCATTAATCACAACAAAAGTACATGAAAATTGCCTGGAATAAAGTCAGCCATATTATAGTTGATATTTTATGCACAGGCAATTAGGTAAAAACACTTTTTTCTACATTCCATATCATTTAAATTAATTCTAATTTTAAAAATGTTTAAAAAAAAAACTAACACAGATCTTACGGCTGGTTCTACAAGAATTTATATCTGTAAATATGGATAATATATATAATATCAAGAGAAAAACTTGTAAACAATTTTATAAATAAGTAAATAAAAACATCATTAACTACATCTTATGAGCAAAAAAAAAATGTTAAAGAAAATGTATAAAAAAGTCTAAAAAAACATGTCAGTAAAATCTCAATTGTCTGAACTTCCTGAAATGAAAAAAAAGATCTTCATCCAATGTTACTTTAAGGCATTTAAGGTAGTCATAATAAAATGCTTTCCCGACAAAAAAGTCTAGCATCAGATAATATATCATAGCAAATTGGTTATTTCCGGAGCGTTATTCTTTAAAAATCTTGGGTATTAGATTATTTACAATCACTCATTCCTTATCGATATGTACTAAATTCAGGTTATAAATGGTTAAGATTTGAATACCAAAAATTGTGAAAAATAAAGTGGCGGAAAAGAATGATTTACTAGACATCTATAACAATTTATTTATTCTGATTAGCTAACAGAACAGAGTCTGGCCAGGCACCAGGGATGAAATAATTCCGTAGCGTCACTTAACAATGAGCTTGTTGGCAATAACTGAATACATATGCCGTCTGATCTCAGTCTGAACTGTTCACTATTCAGTCTGTATCTATTTGTGAAATATTCCCTAGTAATTATGAATGGTTTTTGTCCACTTTGACAGTTGGGCAAGTTCATTTTACATATCTAGTATGATAAGGGTTCAAAGATTAAAGTATGTTAACATCTTTGCTATGGGTAAAGCAAAGTCAAAGCAGGACTCATATTATTTCTTTGCATGGGGTGTAACAATTATTTCACCCAAATAAAGACATGAAATTACCCTAGGTACCTATTTCTTACTTTGAATCACAGAATCGCACACGAAAAATAAATACATCAGCTTTTATCACAAAGCTATCAAGTGACAAATAGAAACAAGCAATTATCATAGTATTGCAAGCAATCCATAAGTCCCCTACCGGTTAGAACCCCAGCAACATTCTGATTTCAATTTTACCAGTGAATGAATGACATGAATGAACTTAAATCTTTTGAGTTCTAAGTTTGTCTATTTCACAGTAATGTGTTAAGTTTCCCTGCCTAGTAAGGCAATTATGTTTATATAACCTTGTCATATTATTACGATGTGGGATTTTAAAGTAAATCCTATAAGGAATGAAGAAGTTGGAGTAAAAAATACCAATTTCTCGAAAAAAATCTAAGTTCAAGGGGGACATAATTCTGGAAATAGTCTTGCTAGAGTATTTAACCTTCTCAAAAATGTTGAGTGATAATAAGAAACATATATATATATATGAAGTTTGAAGTAGATACATTAGGAAATAAAGAAGTTATTTAAAAAAGACAACATTTTTTTTCATAAAAATTCTAAGTTCAAGGGAGGTAATACTGATAATTTTTGTGCTAGAATTGTAAACCTTGTCACATATGATGTGGTTGATGACCAGAAACTTATATTTAAAGTTTGAAGTAAATGCAAGCAATCCATAAGTCCCCTACCGGTTAGAACCCCAGCAACATTCTGATTTCAATTTTACCAGTGAATGAATGACATGAATGAACTTAAATCTTTTGAGTTCTAAGTTTGTCTATTTCACAGTAATGTGTTAAGTTTCCCTGCCTAGTAAGGCAATTATGTTTATATAACCTTGTCATATTATTACGATGTGGGATTTTAAAGTAAATCCTATAAGGAATGAAGAAGTTGGAGTAAAAAATACCAATTTCTCGAAAAAAATCTAAGTTCAAGGGGGAGAGAATTCTGGAAATAGTCTTGCTAGAGTATTTAACCTTCTCAAAAATGTTGAGTGATAATAAGAAACATATATATGAAGTTTGAAGTAGATACATTAGGAAATAAACAAGTTATTTAAAAAAGACAACATTTTTTTTCATAAAAATTCTAAGTTCAAGGGAGGTAATACTGATAATTTTTGTGCTAGAGTTGTAAACCTTGTCACATATGATGTGGTTGATGACCAGAAACTTATATTTAAAGTTTGAAGTAAACACCTTAAGAAACCAGTGAATGAATGACATGAATGAACTTAAATCTTTTGAGTTCTAAGTTTGTCTATATCACAGTAATGTGTTAAGTTTCCATGCCTAGTAAGGAAATTATGTTTATACAACCTTGTCATATTATTACGATGTGGGATTTTAAAGTAAATCCTATAAGGAATGAAGAAGTTGGAGTAAAAAATACCAATTTCTCGAAAAAAATCTAAGTTCAAGGGGGACATAATTCTGGAAATAGTCTTGCTAGAGTATTTAACCTTCTCAAAAATGTTGAGTGATAATAAGAAACATATATATATATATGAAGTTTGAAGTAGATACATTAGGAAATAAAGAAGTTATTTAAAAAAGACAACATTTTTTTTCATAAAAATTCTAAGTTCAAGGGAGGTAATACTGATAATTTTTGTGCTAGAATTGTAAACCTTGTCACATATGATGTGGTTGATGACCAGAAACTTATATTTAGAGTTTGAAGTAAACACCTTAAGAAATAAAGTACTTATAGTGAAAAAGCTGAAAAAATTAAATCAGAAATCTTGAAATCCAGGCTATTTGTTGCCATAGCAACCAGAATTTTCAACATAGGAAGAAAAGAAAAAGATGTGCATAATCTGCAGACTGCCATCTACCCATATTTTATGTTTCATAAAAATATTTTCAGTACTTTTTGAGTTATCACTGGATCCAGTTTATGTGTTAAATTTGCCATATTTTCAGACTATTTGTTGCCATAGCAACCCGAATTTTCAACATAGGAAGAAAAGAAAAAGACGTGCATAATCTCCATACTGCCATCTATCCATATATCAAGTTTCATAAAAATATTTTCAGTACTTTTAGCGTTATCGCGGGATCCAGTTTTGTGGACGGACGGACTGACGGACTGACAGACAGACGGACAGACAGACAGACAGACAGACGGAAAGACGGACGGAGGGTAAACCTAAAGTCCCCTCCGGTTAAACCGGTAGGGGACTAAAAACATACAAAATGTCACACAAAAAACTTCAACTTCTGGCTTCATGGTCACAATAAAAAGGATCAGATTTCGATAAACCATTTGATTTTGTTCCCATTGCTACATGAAACTTACTATGATCTCTATTACAAGATTAAAACAATTTTAAAGAACAATATATCTTGCTGAATACAAATATTAGCACACATTAACTCATGCCAGGAATGAAATAAATGCAAAACAAGTGATAACAAATTCAGCTTTACAGATATGTCAGGGGCAACACTCTACTCAGTATTCATACGCAAAAATGTAATTCCTAGATTAAGTTAAAATTCAATAAATCCTTAAAATACATTCCTAAAAGGGACTCCACTGAGGTTTTTTGTAATGACTGGACAGAAAATAAAATTTCATGATTAATCTTCCATTTGATTAAGAGGTTAAGGCCAGTAACTTGTGTGCAAAATCTCAGACCATTAGCTCATTCCGTTCTTCTAGAATAATTGCTAGTAATCTAATTGTGAAAAATGAAGCAAACTTGAAAAGAGTTTAACCTTTTCCCTTATATAAGCGAGTTTCGACGGCTTTTTACCCCCTCCCCATCTGAGGCCTCAAACAGTGAAAAATTGCCCTATTTAGGCCCCAAACACTGGTTTTCGTTTGAGAAATGTTGTTCAAAAAAGTGACCACTTTTCGGCGCCGTCCCCCATCCAAATGTTACATCAGGGGGTTGCCAGAAGGGGGATGTGGGGGGTTTGAAGGGATGCGGAGTTCCCCTCATCGCTAAGAAAATTTTGGACATGTGACAGGCTTAAAATGGCCTCAGGTGGATCTTAGGGTAACTAGTAACCGACGCTGAAAAGCCTTTTACTCTATCTCAATTCATTGAGAAGTTGCAGCACTTTGAAATCAGTTTTGATGGAAAAAAACAATGCAAAATAGTGATTTTTGGCAATTTTGAGATGTTCCCCCATTGCCATGGTAACAGGAAATTTACGATTGAGCATGCTGTTACAGAGGCTATGGTGTAGTCAACATTTGTGCCAAGTTTCATCAGTATTGAAGCATTTTTCATAGTTTCAAAGAAGTTTGAACTTGTTACAGGAGGCTTTTCAATGAAAACGGCCATTTTTCGCAATATGCTCATGGGGTAAAAGGTTAAACCCTTTTCACTCAAATCAGGCTAAGTATAACACAAAAAAAAATACAAATTTTAAAATATTCCTGATTATATTTGTTCATTATCTTTTGCATATATTTTTGTTTAAAGTGCCCCAGCTAATATGAAAGAATTAAAATTGTATATTTTTAGGTTTTTTGATCTCAGTGTAATTCCTTTAAGGGCCATCATAAACTCTGGACTGAAAGATATTGCCTTAGAAAAACATATCATCTTTAAAGATCCTGTATGTTGTAGTTACTGATGTACAAATACTTAAGTAAAATTTTATATATGTACAGTTGACTCTCAATAAGTCAAAATCGCTTTACTCAAAATTCCGCGTAAGTCGAAGTATTTCTAAAGTCCCGTCAAATTTCCTTCTTTATCTTTGTATTTTAACTCCGCTTAGGTCAAATTTTGACTTACCGAGACTCCTGTTTAGTCGAAAAGAAAATTTGGTCCCGTCAATTAAAGTCCAACATATTTTCATCTCAATTAGTCGAATTATGAAAACAGCCGACTGATCAAAGGTCGGCAACATCAAGGTGAGATGTTCTCCTTGTGATTCACACGTTCCATAGAAATTTTAATTGCCGGTCATCATGTATTATTAGCACGTCGCAAAAGTGGCTTTAATCGGTTTCAAGACTGAATTGGTTTTCACAGTTAGATAACAAAATTAAGACTCGTGCCAGTCTGACAGGACTGGTGTTAGTAAAAAAACAGCCTAGGTATTGATGTGTGTTATCAACGTAAATGGCATCTGTATAATTAATGTTCCGTCATATTGCATACATTAATTTGATCAATTCACTTCAAATATAAGATAAATTGTTGTTAATATAAAAGTGTTATTGTGCTTTTATTGTAATGATTTGTCATGAGTGTTTATTATAAACATGGGCTTTACTGACGAATACTGACAAACTTGCATTTATGTCATTGCTACGAATGTTTGTGTTTATGTTTCACTATTAATATACATGCATTAAATTATATATTTTTGTTCATAATTTGTAGTTGAAAGTGATTTACCGTCATTTCAACGGTTAAATATTGTAGCATTGCCGCTATCAACAACAATAAACCTACTTCTTTGTACATCAGGCACATGTATATACATGTACGAATGTCAACGTAATGGCGACAGATCCATCTTACTCGAATTCCGTTTCTCTCGAAGTAAAATGCCCAGTCCCTTGGATTTCGAGTTACCGAGAGTCAACTGTATATAATTATACTTTAAAATCAATTTCCAAACATCCAAGAATATGTTAAATATGTACTGCAAATGTTAACACGCATTATAAGTACATGTATTCGAATCATTTAAATATATGTTACATTTCTTATTGAAAAATTTGGCTTAGACTTTATCGAAAATAAATTTCTAATTACCTCCCTATATTTACATGAAATGTTAATTCAGTATCTTATAAATAATGTTTTTTGAAACTTACATTATTGATATTATATTTATGAAATAAAACCATAAAAAATTGAGTAACAGGATCTTTAACAAAAGACATACAAAGCAACAACCTTTCAGTAATATATGGTTATCTTAATAATATACTACACAAATAAGGTAAAATGTTCTGGTACACCATTTTACTTCATTATATCTTTTTTTCATATTTCTGTGATGAACTTGTCAGTCCTCAATTTTTGTAACTGTTCATTATCAATTTTGGGAATATCAATATGAAAACTTTAAAAGTTAATCAGCCAATAGTAAGGAACCTGGGAAGGCTAAATGGATGTGCAAGCTGGTCTAGCTATGAACTGGTTGTTACGGTTAATTTGTTTTCTGTTTCAGCAGGTTTAAGACAAAGAAAGCAGGCTACTTCGTAACACTGTCATAAGATGGTGGTGGTTCTGTATTGCCAACTGGCGGTGCTGAAATTATAAAATAAAATCAATCAATAAATCAACCAGTTGGTAAGTGGTCTAAACAGCTCTATTATATTGTGATGAAGGTGTCAGATTTCAAGTACTAAAAAATCATTTTATTACAAAATGTACATGTAATTATATACATGTATATATAAAACTATGAATAGTCTTTAAAGCTTTTAAAATAGGCAATAGGAAGAATTTAATATGACTTTCAGTAGCTGTTACAAGTGAACATTGACCAATATAGTTCAGGAATCATACAATGTCCTTCAGTCTAAATCTATGCTAGAGTTATAGGTCTTAGTTTATACAAATTTATTTTAGTTTGATTGTGTTGGAAGCTATTAGCTTATTGAAATACTCTTGAATCTGTTCCTGGAACCAACCAGCAATGAATGTAAAGTTTCTTGCTCAAAGAAATAATGGCTTGCCCCTGACAGGGGTTGAACCTGTGTGGTCAACAATCCTTAGATTTCTAGTCTGACGTGTTATAGGTCTTGGGCATGGACATTCAATTATCCTGAAGACAATAGTGTGACATTTATAGAGAATACCTAGGTAGTTGTGGTGACACAAAATTCTTAACATTCACCCCAGTAAAGCTTAAATCATTGGTTCTTGGACAGTGCCATACGATTATGATTCGGAAGACTTTAGATGAATACCTTTGGTGGTTAATACAGTATAGTAACAAGGCTTTTTTTATCATCATATACATGTACATGTAAATTCTTTCACCTGTGGGTTGAGGAAAGTTAGCAGGACTATGTCGTCCATGCTCTGCTTGTGGAACAGGTTGGTAGCTAGTCCCCATATTGTAACTCTGCTGTGTGTTTGCTGGGTAAGCACTCTGCATTGGATGAAGTTGGTAACTACCCTGCATTCCTGGCTGGAATGGAGCTTGTGGAGGAGGTTGGTAGCTTGGCTGTGATGCTGAATGATAACCTGGTTGGTTTGAACTAACTGTTGAAAAATAAAAAAAATCCTCTATGTAGAACAAAAGGATTAAAAAACAGTTTTTTTGTGTTTTTTTTTGCTTTTCAATTTTTCCCCATACATATGCTTGTTAAATTTGAAGTGGACCAGATTTTACTTTAAAATGCTGTTATTTTGTTTGTTTTATTTTAATCAAGCGATTAATATAATTAAATCAGACAGTTACCATAAAGATCTTTACAAGCCTCACTGATTGTTCAAGATATCCTGACTACATCAATGTAGGAAAATTTAGAAAATGCTACAAATTGCTGTAAGCTACTATACACAATAGGGCCATAATGGCCACTACATTCCAATTGCCGAAGTTTGATTTGTTCTAAACCAATTTATTATTTGATAGGACCTGGTGACCTAATTTTTTAAACCAAAATGACTCTGCCGAGGGACCACACTAATAGATATATATAGGGGATATTTGTTTGTTTGTGTGTAAGATGAAATTTTATTTCATCAAGTGGGTTACGCCACTCATGAGAATACTGTTTTTAAAGCCCACTCAGTGAAATAAAATTTCATCTTACACACAAACAAACAAATTTTCTTTTTATTCTATGCTTAAAAAACAAGTTAAAACAAAATTTCCTTAATATTGACTTTAATATCAAAATCTGTTTTCCCAACTGGTAGCCTCAAATTGAGTCGAATTTCTCATAAAATACAAGAAGTTTTGGGCTGAAAAATAAGTTCGACAATCAACATAAAATTGCCATGATATTATTCATTTTATTTAAATAATATGAGTGCTCGCTTGTTTTAATAAAACAAACAAACAATTCGAGTAGGAGAAAGAGTCAAACTATTGGTCCTTATTTCTGTAACTTAACGGGGAATTTATATTAGACCTGGCTCTAAGAAATGTAAGCGGCCGCCATTTCTAAAAGTTGTGTATTTCACGGGAAGAAAATAATTGTGTTTGATTCAGAGGGATATCAAATGGATTTGTTAGTCATTCATCCTTTAAGAAGAAAGAAAACTTATTTGAGGATTGTAACAGACAATATATAAGTGTTGACAGATGTGTAAACATTCAAAAAGCAGCTAGGAACTTGTAAAACATGGAATTTTTTGAAAGGCTGCCTTACAAACACTGGATTGTTTAATAATTCTTCGGGCTGATGGCTGTCATTGCTTTAAAAGTTATAAGGCAGTTTTTGCTCGTAGAATACTTAAATATGCCCAAATGTCATCAAGGGCAGTTTTGCATGTGGAAGGAATTGCATTTTTCAGACTGTGAAAATCAAACAAAAATTTAGAGAGGATATTTTGGTGATTGGTAATTTGAATGAATTGAAGTAAGATTTATTCTTTTTATTACTTTTGAAATTTCAGTTATTTATCAATTTCAGCGTTGCTTTTCTCTAAACAGCTCTGAAAATGTCAGAATTGTCAACAATAATAAATTTGAGGTACCTCATGGGGAAAATCTTTAAAAGTGGTCTCATCATTGAAAAGTGTGAAATTACATTTTGATAATTTTCACTGTGAAACTGTCAAATATAATTTTCAAGGATAAATCAGTAATCCACTGAAAAGCATAAAATTACAAAGTTTGTTAAAGATCAAATCAAAACTATGACCTCTACAGTGTATTATAACATTAATGTTGGATGCAAGATGGAATGATGAAAAAACCACATAAGAAAGTTATGGTTCTTGGACAATACAATTTACTTTGTTTCTGGTCTAGTTTTACTGATAAAAAACAACAGCACAAGAACTTACATGCACTCGGATAAAACCAAATTTAGTCAAAACTAGAACTATCACTAAATGTGATTAATACCCCCACAAGACTGCTTCGGAAATGAGGATGTTACTAGTAACAGAACATCTTGTAAAAGAATTGAAATATAGAGTTATGGTTGTGGGCAATTCAAGATAGTTGTGGTTCTTGTATATTGCATTTCCTTTCAATGTGGTTGGCCATTGATGAAGTTTTATTGAATTACTCTGTAATAAGTCCAGAAAGACAAAGAAAATGAAAAAAGGGCAATAACTTTATAAATACTGAAGATGGAGTTATAGTTCTTGTGCACTGCACTTCCTCTTTTTGTGCTTGACCATTGTATGAAGTTGTTTTGAATTTCAACCAGTACGTTTTAAGTTATGCTCCAGACAAGGAAAAGTATCAAAGGGCAGTAACTCTGTATTTTGTCAAAATGGAGTTATGGCTCTTATGCACTGCACTTCCTTTTAATGTCCTTGACAACTGTATGAAGTTGTATTGAATTCCAAACAGTAGTTTTCAAGTTATGCTCTGGACAAGGAAAAGTAACAAAGGGCAATAACTCTATAATTTGTCAAGATGGAGTTATGGTTCTTGTGCACTGCACTTCCTCTCAATGTGCTTGACCATTGTATTAAGTTATATTGAATTCCAACCATTAGTCTTCAAGTTGTGCTCCGGACAAAAAAAAGCAATGGAAAAGTAACAAAGGGCAGTAACTCTGTAATTAGTCAAGATGGAGTTATGGTTCTTGTGCACTGCACTTCCTCTCAATGTGCTTGACCATTGTATGTAGTTATATTGAATTCCAACCATTAGTCTTCAAGTTATACTCCGGACAAAAGAAAGCAATGAAAAAGTAACAAAGGGCAATAACTCTGTAATTACTTTAGATAGAGTTATGGTTCTTATGCACTGCACTTCCCCTTACTGTGTTTGACAATTGTATGAAGTTGTTTTGAATTCCAACCAGTAATTTTCAAGTTATGCCCCGGACAAGGAAAAGTAACAAAGGGCAATAACTCTGTAATTAGTCAAGATAGAGTTATGGTTCTTGTGCACTGCACTTCCTCTCAATGTGCTTGACCATTGTATGTAGTTATATTGAATTCAAACCATTAGTCTTCAAGTTATGGTCGGGACAAAAGAAAGCAATGGAAAAGTAACAAAGGGCAATAACTCTGTAATTACTTTAGATAGAGTTATGGTTCTTGTGCACTGCACTTCCCCTTATTGTGTTTGACAATTGTATGAAGTTGTTTTGAATTCCAACCAGTAGTGTTCAAGTTATGCCCCGGACAAAGAAAAGTAACAAAGGGCAGTAACTCTGTAATTAGTCAAGATAGAGTTATGGTTCTTGTGCACTGCACTTCCTCTCAATGTGCTCGACCATTGTATGTAGTTATATTGAATTCCAACCATTAGTCTTCAAGTTATGGTCCGGACAAAAGAAAGCAATGGAAAAGTAACAAAGGGCAATAACTCTGTAATTACTTTAGACAGAGGTATGGTTCTTGTGCACTGCACTTCCCCTTATTGTGTTTGACAATTGTATGAAGTTGTTTTGAATTCCAACCAGTAGTTTTCAAGTTATGCCCCGGACAAGGAAAAGTAACAAAGGGCAATAACTCTGTAATTAGTCAAGATAGAGTTATGGTTTTTGTGCACTGCACTTCCTCTCAATGTGCTTGACCATTGTATGTAGTTATATTGAATTCCAACCATTAGTCTTCAAGTTATGGTCCGGACAAGGAAAATGCAACGGACGTCTGGACCGACCGACCGACCGCCTGACCGACCGACCAACCGACCACCGGGTGACTCCTATATACCCCCCCAAACTTTGTTTTTGGGGGTATAATAAAACCAAATTGAATAAATAGAACAAGAAACATGGCAATGCCATGAAACCAGGTTTTCAATTATCACCATTGTAGATAAATATGTTGTATTTGAAATACAAATACAAGCAACAAACAATGTAACTATGTGCAATGTAAAACATGAATAATGTAGGAGGAATTGCCACTGAAGAAGTGTTCACTATAATATTATGTATAAGGAAAAAAACAAAGGGCCATAATTAGGTCAAAAACTATCCAATCACAAAACCCCGACAATATGTGCCAGGGTGCTTGATGACAAAGCTTCTGTGAAAGTTTGAACAAAATCCGTTGAGAAATGTAGGACGAGTTCAGCACAGAAGAATTTGTTCACTATAATTATATTGATAATTCTGTATAATGAAAAACAAGTTACAAAGTAGACATGAAATAATATATCATATCTTTTTTAAATTACCTCCAAAGATGATATGACCTTTGACTGCCAAATCAAGTTAAAATCATGTAAACAGGATTTTCAATGTTAATGTCACTGTGACCTTGACCTTGGAGCCAGCCATGCGGAACATGCGTTCTGCACGTCATCTTGATGTGGTAAACATTTGTCTGAAGTTTCATCAAAATTCTTCAAAGGGTTGAAGAGTTACAGAGCGGACAGGATTTTCAATGTTAATGTCACTGTGACCTTGACCTTGGAGCCAGCCATGCGGAACATGCGTTCTGCACGTCATCTTGATGTGGTAAACATTTGTCTGAAGTTTCATCAAAATTCTTCAAAGGGTTGAAGAGTTACAGAGCGGACAGGATTTTCAATGTTAATGTCACTGTGACCTTGACCTTGGAGCCAGCCATGCGGAACATGCGTTCTGCACGTCATCTTGATGTGGTAAACATTTGTCTGAAGTTTCATCAAAATTCTTCAAAGGGTTGAAGAGTTACAGAGCGGACAGGATTTTCAATGTTAACGTTACAGAGCGGACAGGATTTTCAATGTTAATGTCACTGTGACCTTGACCTTGGAGCCAGCCATGCGGAACATGCGTTCTGCACGTCATCTTGATGTGGTAAACATTTGTCTGAAGTTTCATCAAAATTCTTCAAAGGGTTGAAGAGTTACAGAGCGGACAGGATTTTCAATGTTAACGTCACTGTGACCTTGACCTTGGAGCCAGCCATGCGGAACATGCGTTCTGCACGTCATCTTGATGTGGTAAACATTTGTCTGAAGTTTCATCAAAATTCTTCAAAGGGTTGAAGAGTTACAGAGCGGACAGGATTTTCAATGTTAATGTCACTGTGACCTTGACCTTGGAGCCAGCCATGCGGAACATGCGTTCTGCACGTCATCTTGATGTGGTAAACATTTGTCTGAAGTTTCATCAAAATTCTTCAAAGGGTTGAAGAGTTACAGAGCGGACACAATTTCGTTTGAAAACCTGGTTAAAAACTGTCCTTACATCAATTTTATCAAACCAAATAAAAATTGTATACAAAACCAATTTTATAAGTCATACCAGCAGTAGTTTGAACCACATATGGTGTTTGTGGCATTGCCAGTCTTCTTTGTTGTGCTACTTTACATGCTATTATTAATCCTGTAATAATGATCAGAAACACAACTCCACCCACTACTAATCCAACAAGAAGACCTGTGGAACTGCTTGAACTGTAATCTGAGTCATATGTATCAGGCTTCCCCGGTTACTGGAAAAAACAAAAAATACTTAGGAGTTTTAGGTACTGGGCATAATAAAAATATTTTTAAATTTTCCCATTAGTTTCCGGGGAAATGAAAAACAAAAAATTTTTTTTAAAAACTTCCCCGGTACTGGAAAAAATAAAAGTATTTTTTAAAAGCCCCCCCAAATATTTAAAATTTTTAAAATTCTTTAAAATTCCCGGTACTGGAAAAAACAAAAATAAAAAGCAGATAAATTTTGTTTTAACCCTTTACCTCATATATACGTGAAACAACGCACTTTCGACCCCCCCCCCCCTTTTTTAAGGCCTCAAATAGTGAAACAATGTCCTATTTGGGCCCCAAACACATGTTTTCGTTTGAGAAAATGTTGCTAAAATGTTGTGCCCCCTTCTGTTAGGGGGGTTTGAAGGGGGGCGGAGTCCTCCTCATTGCCAAGAAAATTTTGGACTTGTGAGAGGCTAAAAATGACCCCAGGTCGATCATAATATAACGTGTTACCAACGCTGAAAAGCCTTTGACTCTATCTCAATCCCTTGAGAAGTTGCAGCACTTTGAAATAAATTTTGATGGAAAAAATCGAGGCAAAATAGCGATTTTTGGCAATTTTGAAGATTTCCCCTCGTTGCCATGGTAACAGGGAAAATTTTAAAACTAAACATGCCTGTCGTTTTCAAAAGGGAATGGGCCCTAAAAATTTTGCCCCTTTTATTAGTATTAAAGGGATTTTTATAGTTTTTAAAAGCATTTGAACTTGTAAAAGGGGCTTTTTAGTTAAAACGGGCCCCCTTTTTTACAATATGCTCATGGGGGAAGGGTTTCCAAAAAATTTAAAAAACAAATTTATTATTTAGGTACTTGTAATTTAATTTTAAACTGTTAGAAAAGGTCTTTAATTTAAATAAATTTGTGCCCAAAAGGGGGTTTAAAAAACAAAATGGTAATGAATAAGTACTTTTCCAAAAGCAAATTTTTTGCGCAATCAAAGGGAAATTCAAATTCTATGCATTTTGTTAATCTTAAATAGGAAATTTTTTGACTATTTTTGAAGCTTTTGGACGTGAACATGTTCCCGGGTTAATGGTATGGGGTGGTTAAAAGGGCAACTAGGAAAATTAAAAGGGTTTTGAAGACTGGGGTTCAAACCCTGTTAGGGGCAAGCCGTTGTTCCCTTGAGCAAGTTTGTGGCTTCCAACACAATTGAACTTAAATAAATTTGTGTGAACTAATGGTCACAAAACACAGCCAAATCCACGTTTTGGGTTGTTTTTTTTTTTTTTTTTGAAGGCTCGGCTTTTGATAAGTAAGTCATACTCACAATATTTTAAATATATATGCAGTCTGATATTGTCTGAAGAACTTGAACTTGAAGTCCTGAATACTATATATAACCTGTTGGTACGTGTTGGCCCACACCATTCATCAAATGATGCTTGACCACACGTAAATTGCTTCTGAAAGATACATTCACAGTATGTAAATATATAAAAGAATTGGCAAAAAACCTTGTCTCAAGTACATCTTAAATGGACTTGGCCATCTTTTCAATCTGTACAAAACCATTCAATATTGCAGTAAAATTTTTCAAAAATAATAAATACTGGCAAAATAGATCTTGGCCTGCACTGGTTTCAATGGTAAATTCATTTGGTTACATGTAACAACAGGGTCAGTGTTAAATATTTCCTAGTGTCATAAAAAGCATTCAAATTTATCATGAATATTATATACTGAAAAATCTTAGCTGCCAACCAGATATTCACTGTTTTACAGAAAATAATTGATGATGGCTGTTATATGTCAAATTTAAGTACATGCACTATAACATAAACAATATAACTTAAGTTGAGATATTTTTGTTTATGTATTATTTAGAAGCCAATTTTATAATAAAGTAGTTGTTTTAGTCCCAGCAACACTAAAATAGAGACAATAAGAATCCCTAAAGAAAGCCCAACACGGCATAATTGAAAATGTTGCAGGCTCGGTTTGATTGAGTCTGTTCATGGACGTTACTGTTAAGTGCAAACTACCGTCCACGCCCCCTAGCACCGGCTTAGCAGAATTCAACATTTAAATGAACTGGTACAATTTTTAATTTGTGAAACATCTGCAGATGTGTTCATATGGCGGTTGTTATGGAACCTTCAATGTGACACGTAAGTGCCATTCCATGAAAAGCAGCATAAGGTCCCCAAGTAAAAAATTAGTCATGCAGTAATGAGATATTAATGTCATGTGGCAATGTGATATTTACCAGGTATGTCATGTGGCAATGTGATATTTTTGTCATGTGGCAATGGGATAATTTATGTCATGTCAGGGCTTTTTTTCCTTCTATAACAGGGGCCAATATAATTCAAAATTGCACTTTTTTTCACAAAGCGGCAGAATAAAATTCACAATTTCAAGAGAGATTTCACAAAATGTTGGGACTTTGTCTTCGAAATACATTGTTTACCTTCTGGTAAAACTTGATTTACGCCAATTGCAATAACACAGAAATAGTTTAATCAAGTTAAATGGTTTTTGCGCATGTTTACCAGGTTAATGTACCGACTTGAAGTAGATTTTACACAGGTCAGAAATTATAATCAACCGTTCCCAGTTTCAAAATGTCGCAAAATGCTAAGTAATATGTCATTTGTTTTTCTTCACAATTTTATGATATATTGGGCTTTTTTTCACAAAATGAACAGGCCCAGGCCCCTTCACAATTTTGACAAAAAATGCCATGCATGTAGCAATGTGATATTTATGTCATGTGGCAAAGTGATATTTATGTCATGTGGCAAAGTGATATTTATGTCATGTGGCAATGTGATATTGTTTGATTGACAATTGATTGATGAATTGATTAATCAATTAATTGATTGATAAATAAATAGCATGTCAAACTCAAAAGAATTTGACCTTGAAGGTTAGCAACATTAAAATATTTGACCTCAATGTCAAATAAAGGTCAAAGTCAAGTTTCATTACATCATCTTGAAGGACTTTTCCTTATGTTGTGTCCAAGATAGAAGACAATCCATTGAAAAATTGCCATTAATATCCATCAATTGTAAAACAAACTGTGGAAATACAATTATAAAACCTTCAAGATCAAGGTCATTTCAAAGTCAAGGTCAAGTCCAATTTAGTGTTCCTTAAAGGTTTCTGAGATAAATGTTGAGCTAAATATAGTGATAATGACATCATTCTGCAATATCAACACCAACATAACTGTAGCAATAGCTCATATTCTTACTTCCTGAAAACTGAGCTTAAAATCATTACAGTAATAAAAAACATTATCGAATTAATTGAAATTGAAAACTTAAACTATACCGCTGGATCAAGGTATTCTGAGATAAAATGTCTGAAGTATTCCACCTTTGTTGAACAGCTAAGATTTATTTTCTGTGGTTTTACGCATATTTGTTTTTCAAATGTACGAAAATTTTGAAATTGAACATGGCACTCGTCTTTATTCAACCGATTTCCTGAATACTCCAAATAGACATCTTCTCCAACATCATCCATGTCATAGTAGTCATTACATGCACTGCTGGTTACTCTAATTTCCCGTGCTGTAACAAATTTAGAAAATATAGATGATATTGAATGAGTATAGGTTTAATACTAAATTTATTAAAACACATTATGCGAGCCTCAGGCGAGCATAGTATTGTTTTATTCAACACATTCAATAAAAATATGAATATAATATTCTATTTATCACATATATTAAATAAGAACGGTAAACTGTTAAAAAGAATTATTTTTCACTGACGTGCCTATAGTGTAACACTAACATTAGCGTGCTTTAACAATATGTTTATATAAAGTGCAAATGATGTCACGTCAAAGTGTTATTACACTAGTGTAATATCGTTTTTACTAAATGGCTAAAATTATTTGGCTGCAGTTTATGTGATAAGTAAAGTTACAACTAAAATGACATATTGAAAACATTCTAAAAACTATTTACAAGAGGGCCATGATGGCCCTGAGGTCGCTCACCTGTATAAAGGCACCTGGAGCGGGGCCAGTTTAAACCCCAGAGCTTTTATTTGAACAAACTTGGAAGATACCCATTAGAAGATGTTTCACGATGTTAAGTTTTTACTACACACATATAATGAAAAACAACAATCAACAATCTACCCCCCTCCTTCCGCCCCCCCCCCCTTGGCAGGGCCAATTTTAACCCAAGGGCTTTTATTTGAACAAACTTGGTAGACACCCATAAGAAGATGTTTCATGCTAAACATCTAAGCTCTAGCTCATTGGGTTTTTTTAAAAGAAGATTTTTTAAGTTTTTACTATACACATATAGTTAAAACTAATGACACCCCTGGGGCGGGGCCAATTTTGACCCCAGGGCTTTTACTTGAACAAACTTTTCAGGCACGAACGGGCACCTGAGTAGAACCACCTACGTTCCGTAAGCTAGCTGGATAGCTTCCTCACATGAAAGAATCCAAAGTTCCTGTCGGGATTCGAACCCACAGCGGTGAGGGGCAAGTGCTGCCTACACTTTAAACTGGTCTCAATTTACTATTTACCTATCATTATACATACTGAGCAAAGCAAACTACTTTAATTTGTCTTTATTTCACAAATAAAATAGGCATATTGTACTATTTATAATATTACAAATAAATTAAATAGAATTGCATTAATTTTTTCAAAATGGAACTATAAAACTATGTATGAACAAATAAGAATTGTCATTATAGGATTTCCAATAAAGTTAAGAATATCTGCCGTCTATTACTGTTTGTATATGGAAAAATAAGAGTGTTTGAATGAAATATGTTATATTTCTTTCACAGCAAATAGCATGTGTAGGTACTCACTGCTAAAAAGTCAATATCCTTATTTAAAATAGCAGCATGATACTTGATATGGAACAATACAAAACAATTTATTCAATTTAATGATGTAAGATACTCTATGTTCATAATGACCGTATGATTATGGAAACAATTTCATTTTACCATTCATAATACTTGGCCAACTGTGCATGTAGTCAGATTGGAGTCTATACTATTGGCAGCTTTATGTATTTTTATATTGAAATCCCTTAAATTGTGTATGGTCAGTTCTAAACTTGTAGCAGGGCAGATCCATTATGCAAATTAAGTAGGTTAAAGGTTCACTTATTAGGAGTTTGTCATCAAAAAGGGAATTTTCCATGAAATGATTTCAATACAAACTGTTTTTATTTAAACAGTACTTACATATAGAACAAAAATTAATGGCATTGTGATGCTTATTTTCACAATTAAAAGGTGCCTTGTCCTATTGTTTACAGGCAGACTACAATTTTTATATCTTTGTTTACAAGCAGACTACATACAAATAGACTTACCAGAGGCTAACACTAACATGTTTCCAGCTAGCACTAAAAAAGAAATCCATTTTCCCATGTTCTTCTTTGCATTTACAGCATCAGTGAAACAACTGCAACCAGAAGAATAGGGTTACAGTGATATTGATAAACCTAAAATCTGAAACATTAAATATACATATATTCCCTAGAACTTAAGAAGAAAATTTATACAACAAAGTTACAATGGAAATTGCATTATTCAAAATTGATGAAAATAGAAATACTATAGAACATAACATTAAGAAAAAAGGAAAACTGCAGTGTAATTACATAAGAAAATATTTTCAAACAAGAGCACCGCTAGGCGGAGCATTATATGCCCGAAAGTGTTTTTTTTTTTTAGTAAGGATGAAGCATTTGTAAGACATGGGAATTCGCTGTTCATCCTATAAAATTTTACAGCTGTAGGTTGATTAATACTTAAGTTATTAATAATGACCTTAACCTTTGACCTTGTGACCCCTAAATCAATAGGGGTCTTCTACCTTATATGGACAATCATCCTAAGAAGTTTGAATATTGTGGGCCAATTGGAACTTTAATTATGCTCTAGAAACTGTTTTCAGTATTAAGGTAAAAGTGACTTTGACCTTTGACCTTGTGACCCCAAAATCAATAGGGGTCTTCTACCTTATATGGACAATCATCCTATGAAGTTTGAATATTGTGGGCCAAATGGAACTTACGTTATGCTCCGGAAACTGTTTTTGGTTTTAAGGTAATTGTGACCTTGACCTTTGACCTAGTGACCCCAAAATCAATAGGGGGTCTTTTGCCCAATATGGACAATCATCCTATGAAGCTTGAATATTGTGGGCCAAATGGAACTTAAGTTATGCTCCGGAAACTATGTTCAGTTTAAAGGATATAGTGACCTTGACCCATGACCTTTTGACCCCAAAATCAATAGGGGTCTTCTACCTAATATGGACAATCATCCTATGAAGTTTGAACACTGTGGGCCAAATGGAACTTAAGTTATGCTCCGGAAACTGTTTCCAGTATGGGAAACTGTTTCCAGTATCAAGGTAATAGTGACCTTGACCTTTGACCTTGTGACCCCAAAATCAATAGGGGTCTTCTACCCAATATGGACAATCATCCTATGAAGTTTGAACATTGTGGGTCAATTGGAACTTAAGTTATGCTCCGGAAACTGTTTTCAGTATCAAGGTAATAGTGACCTTGACCTTTGACCTTGTAACCCCAAAATCAATAGGGGTCTTCTACCCAATATGGACAATCATCCTATGAAGTTTGAACATTGTGGGTCGAATGGAACTTAAGTTATGCTCCGGAACCTGTTTTCAGTTTTAAGGTCATAGTGACCTTGAACTTTGACCTTTTGACCCCAAAATCAATAGGGGTCTTCTACCCACTATGGACAATCATCCTATGAAGTTTGAACATTGTGGGCCAAATGGAACTTAAGTTATGCTCCGGAAACTGTTTTCAGTATCAATGTAATAGCGACCTTGACCTTTGACCTTGTGACCCCAAAATCAATAGGGGTCTTCTACCTTATATGGACAATCATCCTATGAAGTTTGAACATTGTGGGTCAAATGGAACTTAAGTTATGCTCCGGAAACTGTTTTCAGTTTTAAGGTCATAGTGACCTTGACCTTTGACCTTTTGACCCCAAAATCAATAGGGGTCTTCTACCCAATATGGACAATCATCCTATGAAGTTTGAACATTGTGGGCCAAATGAAACTTAAGTTATGCTCCGGAAACCAAATTGCTAACGGACGGACGGACAGACAGACGGACGCCAGGGGGTATAACATAATATGCCCTTTCGGGCATATAAAAAGGAAAACTGCAGAGTAATAACATAAGAAAATATTTTCATTAAAGCACATGACAGTTTTTTTACGAAACATTTCAGACTGCTGACATTACCCGTAGTTAATTCGTTCCTAGAATATTTAATAATGCTGCTACATGTATTAAACATTTGTCCTTGGACAAGAAACATGGACTGGGAAGAGTTAAATAATGTTGAAACAGCTTTTTTTCCACAGAAATTTCAGCCCAATCTTTATCTACATTGTTTAGTTACATGTATGTATTTATTTGTATTTTGATGTTTTTCAATAATTTAATGCAATATATCATTATCAGGGCTGTCACTAAGGTTTATAAAACAGAAGTCAAGGACTTTGAATTCAGAACTGAATGAAGTAAGAGTTCTAATCAAAACCATGTGGAGCAGCAATTCTCCTTAAAATGTACACTTACTGAGATGGTATCTTGCTACAAATGCTCCATAAGTATGAATCTAAAAAGGCATCTGTCATAACACCATGACTTCCATTCTAATATCTCCAGATAGGAAATTCTATTTGAACATGTATTAAACTGCAAATATTTTTTCCCGATTATTTACTAAAACTTTTTTAATTTAGATCAACAGTTTAAAAAAACTTTTTTAATTTAGATCAACTGTTTAAAGCATAAAATATTGTTTCCTGATAGTGTACATGTATGGTAAATAAAACAGTTTTGTTTTTTTATTTCTTCATTAAACAGTTAATGTGGAAAAAAAATCTACCTAGAGATTTAAAAGGTATATACAGTGGAACCTGTCTAATCCGAACTCGTCCGGACCAGAAGAAAAGTTCGGATTAGAAAGGTTCCCGGATTAGAAAGGTTTCCGAATTAGGAGGTTCTTTTACATGTTTTTTCATGTTACATGTATTTGCAAAAAAGTTTAGGGAAAGAAAACGAGAATGTATTTGAAATTGCAATTGAGATATTTTATTTTTGCAGTCTCTTATCGTTCATTCTAATACATGTGAATACAAAAATAACGAAATGAAAATAAATAAATAAATAAGCAAAAAAATATTATTTCCTCAAGGGTAAGTTAACCTACGATGTTTAACAGGAGGCCGAGACATAATTAAATATTCGTACCAGCATTTGTCAATTGTTGTTTACTCTTATCCGATTCAGCGACTATCCGAATTCACTGACAGTTTCTATTAATTTTCATTGCTTAATCACGTATCATTGAATCCATTACAAAGGATCAAAAGATATTTTTATTGCATTATATCAAAATATTTATTGAAAGTGACGAAAAACAATCAATTAAGCAATTATAGAAGATATGAAAGCAAGCTAAGTATAATTTTCACACCTTCGCAGATCAAACGTTTCACCCATTAATCAAGTGAAATTACACATCAGTTTGGTGTATGTTTACACCTGCAAGATGTGCGATTATTTGTTATTTTGAATGAAGGTGTGACATTTGGCAAAATCTGTTCGGATCCGAGAGGTAAATTTTAGAGTAAAATAAGAACAAAAATTGAAAAAATCGTCCAGAATTCGGAGTAGACAGGTTCCGGATCCGAAAGGTTTTTTACTATTGTAAATAGAACGAATAAAATCGGGACCGGACACTTCGTTCGGATAAGAAAGGATTCCGGATTAGAAGGGTTCGGATAAGCAAGGCTCCACTGTATATATACAGTATACAATTTATTTAAATCCATGTTTTATGATTTGAATTTGTTGTTCACTTCATTAAGTGTGGGTCATTATGTACTTTACACCTCAATTTGTTAACACACATCAATTGCATCATGCTTACCATATTTGGCAGTAGGGATTAGACGCTAAGTCACTTGATACCTGTATACATGTGAACTGTGTAAGTGTTGCAGAGTTGGGTAGAGGTTGTTTGAAGTGTACTGACTACTGGATAATAATTGGACTTAATTATTTTGGCCCTCTGAGTGTTAAAACAGGTATTATTTATTTGGTTGAAATGGATTTTTACCTCTTTCAATCCCTCCTCACTGTTCGTCGGTTACCATGAGACAAAGCTAGTTTCAAACATTGCTAATCTCAAATAAAATCAAATCAAAATTTATTTTCGGTATATATATAACAATTTTCACAAAACATAAGCTGTCATTCTTTGAGTTTCTATTGCCTGATCATTATTTTTTTTATCTGCATCATTCCCTACTTCTTATCAACTTTAAAGACCCAATGCCGACAACAAACTCAAGGTGGGGTTACAATAATGTCCCAGCAACAATTGATATGTCACGCATTCAGTATCGGATGCTGTCATTGGTTAAGCACCTGCAATACTGACACTGATTGACAAAACTTAATCAAAAGAGAATTGTCATACATTGATTTGTTTATTCCTTGACAGCTGAAGTGTGTCGGAGTAACCAACAATGCAATTATTTGTTAGACCCCTGATGTTTAATGGGGGATATATTACTTCAGGCATGTATAGTTTTAAAAGTTGTTTAAGTCTATCGTTAAATTATTTTTATTAGTAAAAATGATGCTTTAATTTTTTTGTTGGTTGAATTTTTAAAAATCGGGGGATTTCTATCCCACGGCGCCAGATTGGGAGACAATGTCGAAAATCGGGGTTTTTTTGTCCCCCGTGGGAGATATGGCATGTATGTGTTCATTAAGTGTGGGCCCCTATTTTGTCTCCAATGACCCCTTTTATTTTTAGGCCAATTTAAGAACACAATTGGAAATCAGTCTAAATTGAACACCGTGTAAGAAATCCAACTAATTAGATTTGTCAAAGAGACATTGAGATAATTTTGGACGGGCGAGCCGATGTCTTTTTCAAACGGTTTGACAGTACGAAAAAAAAGTTTGTAAAATGGGTCAAACCGTTTACGGCGAATTAATTAGGCTATTGTTCACAATGCATGTATCTGAAAATAGGATGAAATGTTATAAATTTTAAATGCCAAAGTTCATTTTCGTGTTACACTAATATTTTACATTTTTCATTTCAAGATAAATACCTTTTCCGAAGTTATTTTCACCAACTAAAATTACCTGTACAAATGGTGTGTATCAATTAAGGGGAGGTAACAAAGAAAGCAAAATGTCCTGTACTTCGATGAAAACATGTAATTTATTCGGGAAAATTTGATATAGGTCCTTGATTTTTTTTTTGAACATCTAAGACGTTTTGGCTACAAATCTGTAAAGGTAGATATATTCCGACATTTGAAAGAATAAAGATAAAAGATTTTCGTTATATACTTGTCTCCTCTTTAAAGCAAAAGAATGAACTTACGGTGCCAATATTGTCATAAGTGGCAACGTTTGAGTATTTTCTGCTGTATGACACAAGAAATCAACAACGTATGCAATCAAAAACATATTTAAATATATAATAATCAAGACGTAGTTCTGGCTTCCAAAACTTTATAAGCCGCTATTTCACATTTTTGTTTTTCATCTGATGCGGCATGTCATAGCACATAAACGGGTACGCTGAAGACCTTAAGCTAGCCAAAACGTAGATCATAGGTCAGCCATGACACAAATCGCAATAAATGGTGTTACACTCTAGCTAGTTTTTTCATGTTTCAGTTAAAATTACTAAATGTTATATCACGGATTTATATTACCCGTGGTTATATGCTCAATTTTGAATATTAAAACTATACAAAATTATTTTTTTCAACAAACAAGAACATTTAGAAAATGATGATTGTTTCAGACATATGTACAACTATACTGGACTACTGTGGCTTTTTGCAGAAATGAGTAAAATGTTGTTCCGTTTACGTAAAAATCTACAGATTTAAAATATTTTCAGAGATGTACATGTAGATACTGTCCACAAATTTTGTTGTTTACGTGCATGACTCAAATATATAAACTTTACCAATTTTAACACTAGTGCAGGGTCTATTTGAAAGACCCTGACTAGTGACATAGAAATATGCCATTAATTACCGTGAAATAAGTGATGACGCTAAATTAGTGATATCAGATATTTTATAAAGCGCTCTGATTGTATATACATCTGTAATCAAATTTCTATGACCCCATATGTGACGAAAAATCAGATTTTTATGTGAACACCAATGTCACGGTTCAGAACTGTTCACACTTTAGGAGAGATGTGTAAGCGGCCGGATAGCTCAGCCGGAAGAGCCGCGGTACGGCATTATGAGGGTCACGGGTTTGAGTCCCGGTCAGGCTGCACATTTTTCTCACGCTGTGATATTTGACGCCCAACGGGAGACCGTCCCTGGATATAGCTCAGAGTTTGATGTACATGTAACTCTGTGAAATTCGAGGACTAGGGAGTGGGGGAGTATGTCACGGTTTAGAACTGTTCACTCTTTAGGGGAGATGTGTAAGCGTCCGAATAACTGAGCCGGTAGAGCCGCGGCACGAACAGTATTACTGATCTGACCCGATAATAAGTTCAACAAACACATTCATTCGGTTCTTCCAAAAAAATAATGCTTCTTCAACACAAACTTAGTTTCCAGCAAATTATACTTTTTTATAATATTATAACTTTTTTTTTACTTTATTTTTTTCCATTCAGACTTTATTTGAGCATTACCTGGTTCGGAAACTACATACAGATATAGTTGGCATCCGCTCTTTTGTTCTTCCGATGAAACACATTTACAAATGTAAAGGTCTTTTTGTAACACATTGGGTTTTCCGTCTTATTACGGCATGTATATGAATGCTCTGAAACGATAAGTTATATGTTTCCACAGGGCACAGGATCTTTCAAACAGACTTTTATTTGAAAGACCCTTGTTTCCAAGTGTACACAGCAAGCGGTTGCCTAATTACACACTTTAAATGACATTTTGGTTCAAAGGCTTCTATTTTGTTGTGGATTCCTTATCAGGAATATTCCCAGAAATTTCCACTACTATCACTCTAAATTTGTGTTCATCTTTCAATAATGGGAGATTTGCCCTTGAACCGAATTTGCCCTTATATAACGAACGACTTTGTCCTTATACCGAACGACTTTGTCCTTAGAACGAACGACTTTGTCCTTAGAACGAACGACTTTTTCCTTAGAACGAACGACTTTGTCCTTATACCGAACGACTTTGTCCTTAGAACGAACGACTTTGTCCTTAGAACGAACGACTTTGTCCTTGGACCGAATTTGCCCTTATATAACGAACGACTTTGTCCTTATACCGAACGACTTTGTCCTTAGAACGAACGACTTTGTCCTTATACCGAACGACTTTTTCCTTAGAACGAACGACTTTGTCCTTATACCGAACGACTTTGTCCTTAGAACGAACGACTTTGTCCTTAGAACGAACGACTTTGTCCTTAGAACGAACGACTTTGTCCTTAAAACGAACGACTTTGTCCTTAGAACGAACGACTTTGTCCTTATACCGAACGACTTTGTCCTTATAACGAACGACTTTGTCCTTAGAACGAACGACTTTGTCCTTAGAACGAACGACTTTGTCCTTAGAACGAACGACTTTGCTCACCGTGATTTAAGTCCCTACTTTTTTCCCCGAGATTTTCATTGATGGAGATCACGGCCAGTAAAATTTTATGCATACACGTACTTTCAGATCATGCGTTTTTCCTGGATAATTTCCTGGATAATTATTTTGATTATAACAAGTGACACAAAAATGAAAAGCGTTTTTAAAAGCGCTTTTACCTCAAAACGGGACAATTTTCAAGTCAATTTAATTTGGTGTGCCTGAGTGTGCTTAATCAGTCGCGAAAGTATAGTAAATTGAAAAAATGAAGATCCCCGTCTAATGTGTAATCAATAAGCATTCAATATTTCTTTTATAGTTTCTTTTGAATGTGTTATCAACTGTTTAATTTTTTTTAAATGTGACTGATGGGCATGGAAAGGAATATTCGCCATTTTGTTTTAGTGTGGTTCGATATTCTTATTCTTATTGCCAGCCGGCATATATGTGTAACGAGTTCGTGTGACTCAAAGGAGTGAACAAGATCTATCAAAAATAAAGATGATATTGAATGACTGTAATTTCAAAGATAATTATGTGAGCCTCTGGCGCACCACTTAATTATCTCGTGCGCACGACTTAGTAACTCGTTGACACAACATAGTATCTCGTGAGCACTTCTTAATTATCTCGTGCCCACGACTTAGTAACTCGTTGACAAAAACATAGTATCTCGTTCCAACGACTTAATTATCTCGTGCCCACGACTTAGTAACTCTTGGCCACAGCATAACATCTCGTTTCCACGAATTAATTTTCTCGTGCCCACAACTTAGTAACTCGTGGCCACGACAAAGTTTCTCGTTCCCACGACCTAATTATCTCGTGCCCATGACTTAGTAACTCGTGGCCACGACATAGTAACTCGTGGCCACGACATAGTAACTCGTTCCCATGACTTATTTATCTCGTGCGCACGACTTTGTAACTCGTGGCAACGACATAGTATCTCGTGCGCACGAGATAAATAATAACGCACAGATGTCACCTCTGTGCCACCGTACATAGCAGGTCATAATTTATGGCAATTAGAGGAGGAAGATCTCAGGTGCCCCTCCATGCATTGGGGGGGGGGTGTTACATGTATGTACTTCACATCTCAGTAAAACAGTAAACTGGCTGAGTGTCATACTGAAATCATAAATACAAAACATTCAAGTAATTTTAGAAGATTGTATCATTCGTGATATTTTACATCATGGTGAACCTACAGTCAATACCACGTTCCATTTAAATGACAATATAATCTCGGTATTTATCTCCAAATAATGTTGACCCAAATGTACAAGTCTATATAGTCATATTTGATGTTCAAACAAATCAAGAACCAGGGTTAACTTTACCCTATGACTTACTCAGCCTGTGATGGGATGTTTTGGGGCCAAGGTGACCCTTCACCCAATTCTATTTCTTTTTCAGTGATACCATGCTTGTAATGTTATCATGGGCATATTGCCTAATGGAATAAAGAATAAACTACTACTGTACTATCAAATGAGGAAAGTTTGCAAATCTATGTAAAATTCCGGACTTGTTTTTCATAAAATGAGGCCAAACTTGTCAATAAAATTCATCACATTTTGGTGAAATTCCAAAACAATATTCAAAAGATTTTTTTCCATATCAATTATACAGTTTCAAAATAATGCCTTTCATCGGTGTTCTAAATTATTTTTAAATAAATGCAAGATTTCAGAATAAATGTCTTTTTTCTGGTGCATCAGTAAATCAGTTATGGACAAATGTCAGGGAAAAATGAAGGTAAACAATCTGAAATATTAAGCGATATTAAAATATCACTGCAGTGGATTCGCCTCTTTGCCAGTAAAAACTCGAGGTATGAAGACACTAGTTTTTGCCACCAGCACAAACTTTTAAAAAGCAATTTCTTAAAATGTTTAGTGTGGTCATATTAAGAGGTTAATACACGGCAGGAGAGGGCCGGAAGGTGATAATCGGCCCGCAAAATGAATAATGGACCCGAGGGCTTTAGCCCGAGGGTCATTATTCATTCATGGCCGATTATCACCTTCCGGTCCCTACGCTGACGTGTATTAATGTCTTTAATACACTTGGTAGATCTAATAGTAGCATTTAAAAAAAAATCAAAACAAAATTTAATAGACTTTGAAGTTCTTTCCTTGAAATTCTTGTCTACTCTTCTACTGTTCTGTACAGAGATGTTTACTGTGTGTGTGTTCAAAGCAGTAGAATCAAGAAGCAAGTTTTATTTTCATTTTTTTTTCGGAATGAATTTGTCGTATTATTTCTTTAAATTTCAATAGTAACAAAAATGTGTTTGTACTAAATACGCTTAAGCTCTCATAATAAAAATAAAGCGATTCGTGCTGACAACCTACTTTCACTTTTACAGTTAACTGTTTGATGACGTAAAATATGACGTCATTGTTTCAGTGTGTGCACGTGCACATGTTCTGCGGGCTGATAACTAGTTCTCGGCCCCGGGCCGCAAACTCATAATAGGTCACGTAACTCTCATAATCAGTTGAAATCATAGACAATTTTGTTACTTTATATAGTAACAAGTGTATTAATATACAAATGTACTTATACTTT